TCTGTTGTGATGTTTGTAGGCCCTTTTGATCGTCTTGATCAATCTGGACAGATTTTGTGGTCAAAATGACTGAAATATTTACACATTTTATAAATTGCCTGAGAGAATCACATTTTACAAATTGACGGTAATATATACACGCTTACAAAGGAAAAGACCTGTGAAAACAACGTCTATCGCGCATTGAAGAATTTCCCGACCAAGACGTAGAGTGACAAGAACGAATCGGTTCAAATGAAGGAAAACAAAATGCAGATATCATAATTACAACCTACCAAATTTATGTGTATAAGTTTTAGGCAGCTTCCTTGTTCGAGGAATGTATCCGTGAATATCCACACAAAGGAACAATATCCCACTCGTCTGCAGCTGTACAAAGAAACTTATTCGATGTCACGTGTCTCAGTAACAATCAAATATTTTAAAAGATATATATCGTTTCGGGATATTATAACCCGTGTTCGTTTCTCAACTGATCGCTTGGATTGTTTCAGGTGTTTTACATAGGTGTCAAGTCTCAATGGTCGCCTGAGAAAGCCCACGTGACAACTATTTTCATAGCTCCACGATTCCTAAAAATTCCATTGAGTGATAGATAACAATGATCAATCAATCAACGTATTATCAGTTAACCCTTTGAACAAAGTATGTTGTTTTTACATCGGCACTTGGCGCCATGATATGAGTGTATTCCCTTTGTTTTAGTAAACCTAGACATGTAAACACTCACTCTTGACATATCCACTGTGCAAGATAACAGTGATTAATCAATCAACGTATTTTCTGTTAATCCTTTGATGACTAGGAACGATCCGTTGATTTACAAAAAAAGTAAATCAACTGATCATTCATCTCTTGCTGGGCTGCCACGTGCATATTACATAACACACATTTCACCTCACTTCAAACCTGGATTTAGATTGAATAATTACCCCAGACACAATAAATGCCAAATGGGAACCTTTGTCAGGTAATATAAGTGGTGCTATCACTAATTGTACCTGTAATAAATTCATTAACTGAGCATCAAGTGAATGACGACAAATACACAAGTGTAGGGTTATACGAGAAAACGTGGATGACAACAAGGGAGTAGTAATCGTATTATCGACGCAAGCCGAAATCCGAAAATGCTTTCACTGCATGGATACTGTTTTTAGTATTAAACTATAACCATCTGGGGTATTTCCAAATGACGACATCCGATGAGCTCCCTTGTTCTTTTTGTCTGTTTGTTTAGGCTGAAGAAATTAATTAACATGCGCCCTTTGTCGAAATCTTTATAGATCGCAGTTAACCAATCAGTGTTCAAAAATGCGTAAAACAAATATTGCCTCCCGCCTCCAAGTTTATTTAGCTGTCCTTGCAGACGGTACCCCAGTCTCTGGTCACGCTCAGTTGCGTTGCGTATCATCCGGGTACTCACGGGGGAAAAACAATAACAAAGGCAACAACCAGTCCGTTAGATCAGTGCCCCTTTAAACTCACAATAAATAGTTTCGCTTAATGGTGTGTAAACAATGAATTATTTTTTACAAGATTTCAGTAGAATTTGTATAAGTCTGTTCAGCTACCATAAACTGCACTGGGAGTTACCAGGTGGTCATGGATATTTTAAATTGAAATCACAACAGAACGGCCAGACTCAAATTTATATCGGTAAAGAGACCAGATAACAGTAGAATAGTTTGTCAATAAGAATAATGTTCAATACTTACGATAAATGTACCGGGATGGTTAAATTGTCACAGTTTGTCCCGATTGCATGCCTTGTTGACATCTCCATGTGTTTCATGTGCTATCCAGCCTTCACCTTCTGCTCTCCAAGCCTCGCTTTCAAACCGGAAGTAGCGAAGTGTGAAAAAGGTCAATACCGGGAGCTTGGGGACCGTTAATGTAAGGGAGATAACTCTTGTTGCCGTCATTTTTCACAATTCGTGCTGTAATCTTCTGTTGTGTTCTGTTGTCCCGCAATACTATCTATCACTGTCACTTAAATTGTTACATTGATAAGATCACGTTAGGTTATATTTCCCTATCTAGTTTTGCCACACGTGCTTTAATGTATTTCTAAAAATGATGTGTGTTTTTAGGATATGTGATCTAGCTGGACCATGTTTAGGTCGCAATCACCAATAATCCAGCTATATGACGGCGGTCTGTAATTAATCAAGTCTGGACCAGACAATCCAGTCATTGACATCATGAGCATCGATCCACGCATTTGGATACGATGACATGCATCAACCAAGTCAGCGAGCCTCGCAACCCGATCCCGTTAGTCGCCTTTTACGGCAGGCATGGGTCGCTAAAGACCTATTCAACCCGGATCTTCACGGGTAGCTTTGAGCACAATGAATGACATTATATGTAATTTAGTTCTCCAGATAAATGGGTTTTTAAAGCCATTGAGCATGTACTCACATGTAATTATTCTCATGGACGTGTGTTTATAAAATACTCTTATATTTGTACTCCAATGAGTACGGTCTACTGTGTTTTTTCCCAAACCAATCTACATTTAACATGTCAGGTTTCAGGTGACTTCTAATTACTATCTGCCCATGTGATGCCCCAAGTGTGTCACGTGTTACGTGAGTTACACAACAGCGGTATATGTCTAAGTTACAAAACCGAGACGTTACGTTTAAAAAAATGGCGCATTATTATTAACTGAGGTAGATGTCTGGATTTAACCAGTAAATAACAATAGGTCTTTGAAAGGCATTTAGAAGTGATACATATAAGGAAGAGAATATATGGATGTCAACTTCTTTATGAGGAACACAACGTTTCGGAGTATATACTTACTCCTTCATCAGGTGAATGAATGCCATGAGGCAGAGAGCATATATATATGTACATGTAAGGACAACAAAATTAATAAGATAACGAAAGGTGGAAAATAAGAAAGGATAGAAACTAACAGGGGAAGCCAACAGATGATTGGCGTTGATAGGTGATTAACACTAGACAATCTATTTCACAATCAAGAAGGACCCCACTGCTAAACTAGAACGCCAACATAAAAAAGAACCTAAAAGACCTCCACCAGAACAGAGAGATAAACGACACCATCTTCAACCAGCTGAACCCCATCAACTCCCAAGACCCTTAAAGAAGTTGGCATCCATATACAGTAAAGTACGGTTATAACGAACTCAAAGGGACCACTAATTTTAGTTCGTTATAACCGTAGTTCGTTATAAGCATATATACAGCATAACTACAGCAAATAGTCGGGACCTAAAAAGTAAGTTCGTTATATCCGTCAGTTCGTTATAAGCGTGTTCGTTATTACCGTAGTTTACTGTATTCTCTTCCTTAAATAACAATAGTCATCAGAAGATGACAATCCCCCGACCCCCACAATAGCAAAACGCACCGCTTCAGCCACTGGTTAAAACATATACCAAATTTGGATGTACAATGTGTCGCGGGATATAAATCTGACAGGAATACAAGAACGCAAATGGAAAAGGCTATGAGTAATTACGCGCAGTGTTAGTAAGTATACAATTGTTGTTGTTTTAAATGCCATGCGTATTTGTGAGCTGGCAACTCAAAATTTATTGAGTGTTGCTGATTCAATTTGCGCAGAGATCTTATACAACCAACTGACAACTAAACACAAATTTCATTTAAGGTTGATGGGGAAGCCGGGAGAGAAAAGCAGTCCCATTGGTCCATGTCATCAATAGCATTAAATCAGAGTCTTCACGAGATTGGCATATAACATATTCATATATTCATGTTATATATATATATATATTGTGTGTGTGTGTGTGTGTGTGTGTGTGTGTGTGTGTGTGTGTGTGTGTGTGTGTGTGTGTGTGTGTGTGTGTCACTCTCTGACCCTCTGTGACTCTCCCTCTCTCCATCTGTGACTCTCTCACTTTCACTCTCTCTTTTACTCTTTTACTCTCTCTCGAATTCTCTCTTCCTCTGTGACTCTCGCTCTCTCTCTTTAATACAGGAATATTTTCTGTACTTGCTTCTATACTTGACTATTTGAATATTGACCCCGCCCCTTGTAAATAAACAACATTATATGCTGAAGGTAAATGTTTACAGCGTAGACAAACACTAACGTATAAACTTTTGATTGTCTAATAATTACTCTCCGGACTAGTACAAGCAGACTCACGCACGCAAGCGCATGCACGCACACACACAGACAGGCGCGCGCACGCACGCACGCACGCACACACAAACACACAAACACACACACACACACACTTCGCTATGTAAGTGCAGTAATCTGAAACGCGACGTTAAACCATGTAAGACCTCACTTCCACGAAATACTATTGGAGACTTTCGGAAGACTTGGAAGACCTTCAATGCCTGACGTCACCGTTGCCGTTCACTGATAAATAAATGAAACAACATACTTAACTTGCTGTTCTTGGACCCCTGAAACTAAAATCCCGAAGAGATGTATGCGACGATCGGGTGGAAAAAAACTCGTTCTCGTTCGTCAAAGTCGACTGAAATTGTATAGCACATTTGAAATTGTATAGAACATTCAACACTCTTTGGAATTTGTTCTTTTTTAAGGGGCTGATCTTGAGAGTTGATCGTAAACTGTATACATTTTGATATCTCCTTATGGGGATACTGTGAAATACACTTATTGTTTTTAATCTGGTAAATAATATTTTTCTATGGTGGGAAGTCTATATATACAACATCGTTATGTTGTGGAAAGTTAATTTGATTTAGGTAGATCAACATATTTTTTACCAGTTGTATAATATTGTCGAAATAGCTATTTGTACCACGATCACTGAAATCAGCGTTTATTTGATGAAAAATGATTTTCAGTGCAGTATAAAATCAATCCAAATCATTTTTACATAAAAGTTGTTGAATAGTTTCTGTTTAGTGGTCTGCATTAGCTAAGGCATTAGAGTTACCTATTGTTGGACGCTAAACTGCTACCGTTGTATCCGTAATCCGACGCACGCTATGAAAGTATAGACAGGATCCCAGTTCGCCGAAGGTGTGGCTATTTTTAGTTTGCACGGGCGATGATAAAACATTCTGGAAAATGTTTGACATCTAAATTTGGTGGGGCTTTCGCAATCAGTGACGTTTATCTCATTCGAGTATATTGTTTCATTTCAAATTAATCTTACACCCAAGAACAACAGCAAAGTAAGTATATCAATTATTTAGTAAACTTGGTGTTTATTCGATTGATGATCAACCTGTGAAGACGGATGTAAACAAATTCATCGTCATCTGTACAGGTGCACAGTCTACAGCCTGGTAAATCTTGATCATGTGTAGTGAACTTATTTCATCACAGACGCTGCAGCATGTCGCGACTAGTCAGTATTTTGGTGTTTACATTATTCCAGTAGAAATTTGAACCAATTTTTTTGTTGGCAATGTTGCATGAATATCCTGGTTGCTCAAATCCAAGGCTACAGTTGGTTTATGTGCAAGGCTATAACGTTGTGGATGTTGGGACTTGATCATAGTTTCAGGGTGACAGTGTACAGTGTGAGAAGAATGGGCACAACTGGAGTTGTCATTAATGTTGGCACAGCTTGTTGATCAAACACCACTTCACAATCCTCAGGTTTGGGCACCACTTACTGATCAAACAACCCTTCTCAATCCTCAGGGTTAGGCACCATTTACTGATCAAACACCCCTTCACAATCCTCAGGGTTAGGCACCACTTACCGATCAAACACTCCTTCACAATCCTCAGGGTTAGGCATCATTTACTGATCAAACACCCCTTCACAATCCTCAGGGTTAGGCACCACTTACCGATCAAACACTCCTTCACAATCCTCAGGGTTGGGCACCACTTACTGTTAAACACCCTTTCACAATCCTCAGGTTTGGGCACCACTCACTGATCAAACAAGCCTTCTCAATCCTCAGGGTTAGGCACCATTTACTGATCAAACATCCTTCACAATCCTCAGAGTGGAAGGTCCGGGGTTCGATCCCAAGCCGCGTCATACCAAAAGACTTTAAAAGATGGTACTTGTTGCTTACCTGTCTGGCGCTCGGACTGGTCGGCTCGGAGTCAGTATACAGTGTCTGAGTGGGGTATTCATGTTAAACAGTGGCATGGTATCTCAGTGTGCTAGCACTATAAATCAGCATCAGTCTGGACTAGTACAAGCAGCCACACACACACACATACACATGCATGCACATCGCTATATAAGTGCAATAATCTTGGACGGGACGTTAAACCCCATTTCTCCTCACCTCACACTCCTCAGGGTTGGGCACCACTTACTGATCAAACACCCCTTCACAATCCTCAGGGTTATTAATTAATTAATTAAATTACGCATTTATATAGCGCTACTTATCCAGACATACTGCCTGCTCAGGAGCGCTCAGTCGTATGCTCTTTTGAAGAGGATGGTCTTGAGTTTTGATCTAAAGGTGTTGACATCTTCAGATCCCCTGACATCAATGGGCAGTGCATTCCATAGAGTTGCACCTGCTTTTCGGAAGGTTCTGTCGCCATATGTTGTTCTGCTGGTTGGTGGAACAGCAAGCTGTAGTTTGTTTGTAGATCTCAGTTTTGGGCCAGGTTGGTAAAGGGCAGTGTGTTCCTGGAGGTATACTGGGGATAGCCCATGGATCGATTTGTAGACAAACATGATCAGCTTGAACACGATCCTGAGTCTCACAGGTAGCCAGTGCAGCTCTTTCAGGATGGGTGTAAAGTGTTCACGCATTGACTTCCGTGTGATGAGTCTGGCAGCAGTGTTTTGCACACGCTGTAGTCTATCCAGATGCTGCTGCTGGATACCATACAGAATTCTATTACAATAGTCAAGTCTTAATGTTACAAATGCATGGACTAGGCACTTGACTGATGCTGTGTCTACGTATCTTGCTATCTGTCTGATGTTCCTGATGTGAAAGTAAGCTGTCTTGCACATACTGCTTACATGGTTATCTAGACTGAGTGTTGAGTCAATGATCACACCTAGATTTCGGGCACAAGAATTTTGCTCAACCGTACAGTCCCCAATTTTCAAACCAGGAAATCGTACTTTGGACTGCATCTGTTTAGAGCTGATGATCAAGAGCTCAGTTTTGTCATCCAGCATCTGATGTCATCTATGCAGCTTGAGATTGCTTTAAAGGTAGTGCTTATTGATGATGTAGTCAACGGTCTGAATCCCAGATACAATTGTGTATCATCAGCATACAGATGGAAGTTTAGATTGTGAGATCTTGCTATATCTCCTACTGGGTTAGGCACCACTTACTGATCAAACACCCCTTCACAATCCTCAGGGTTGGGCACCACTTACTGATCAAACACCCCTTCACAATCCTCAGAGCGGAAGGACCGGGGTTCGATCCCCAGCCGCGTCATACCAAAAGACTTTAAAAGATGGTACTTCTTGCTACCCTGTCTGGCGCTCGGCATTAAGGGGCTAAAACAAGGACTGGTCGGCTCGGAGTCAGTATACTCTGTCTGAGTGGGGTATTCATGTTAAACTGTGGCATGGTATCTCAGTGGGCTAGCACTATAAATCGGCATCAGTCCGGACTAGTCTAAGCAGCCACACACACACACATGCACATGCATGCACGTCGCTATATAAGTGCAATAATCTTGGACGCGACGTTAAACCCCATTTCTCCTCACCTCACAATCCTCAGGGTTGGGCACCACTTACTGATCAAACCCCCCTTCACAATCCTCAGGGTTGGGCACCACTTACTGATCAAACACCCCTTCACAATCCTCAGGGTTGGGCACCACTTACTGATCAAACACCCTTTCACAATCCTCAGGGTTAGGCACCATTTACTGATCAAACACCCCTTCACAATCATCAGGGTTGGGCACCATTTACTGATCAAACACCCCTTCACAATCCTCAGGGTTGGGCACCATTTACTGATCAAACACCCTTTCACAATCCTCAGGGTTGGGCACCACTTACTGATCAAACACCCCTTCACAATCCTCTGGGTTGGGCACCACTTTCTGATCAAACACCCCTTCACAATCCTCTGGGTTGGGCACCATTTACTGATCAAACACCCTTTCACAATCATCTGGGTTGGGCACCACTTTCTGATCAAATTGCCTTTGTGATCATCAGGGTGATGCATACCTGTCTGATCAAACATGTAGCATACCCTGTCCGATCAAACAACCTTTCACAATCCTTAGTGTTGGGCACAGCTTGCTGATCAAACACCCCTTTAGGATCCTTAGGATTGGGTTCCCCTTTCCAATCAAACACTTTCACAATCCACAGAGGGGTACACAAAGTATGTGATCTGGACTACAAGTTGTCGGACTTCCATTTTGTGGAAGTCATGTTGGTTGGGTGGGTAAGGTCACTGACTTTGTGTGCTATGGATTAGGTGCCTCACTTTAAGAGTGTGGGTTTGAATCCCAGATGGGACTCAACCCCCAAAAGTACTAGACATTGTACTTCACTAAGAGTGTGTAATCCCAAAGATTACATATTTTACATATGAGTGTAGTCTGATTGTACAGCCGAATAGGACTCAAAAGGAAGCGCTTCAGTTGGTGTTGTGCATGTTAGATATTATGCACTGGATGATAGAGGATGGTCTTTCACCAGGTAAATGTATCTACATGAACATAGTTTAAAATGTTTTCTGTGTGATATTTCAGATGTCTGATGTTATCAAGTCTGGATACATCAAGCGTTACAGCAGTAAGTTTATCGACCATCTTTCTTTTGTTTGTTTTTTAATGCCGCCCTCAGCAATATTCCAGCTACATGTTTGTGGCCAGTAAATAATCGAGTCTGAACCAGACAATCCAGATATGACACACAATCAACCAAGTAACCGAGCCTGACCACTCGATCCATTTGTTTGCCTCCGAAGGCCAGCATGTGTTGCTTGGGATCAATTCTAACCCCCACAAAACAATTGGGCATCAATCTTCAGATTGTATGCTTGATGGTGTGGTAGCCGAGTGGTTAAGGCGTTTGCTCATCGTGCTGATGGCCAGGATTTTATTCCCCAAATGGGTTGATGCCAATTTCTGGTGATATTGCTGGAATATTACCATGCTCACTCACTGTAGACTCATATTACTGTGTCCACTGAAACATGATCATGCTACTATTGCAAGAAACATTTTGCTTGAGTTACTTATTAATCCTGTGTTTGTCAGATGGATATATTCCAAGAATAGAAGCCGGTCACCTCAGGAAGAATGTATATCAAATGACCATCCTTTACATATGTCCAGTGCTCGCATTTCGGTAAACCTACTCTAACCTCAAGATCCATTCCTGTGGATCTCAGGATCTCAAATTTACCCACTCTTGATTTTCATCAGCAAAATTTGATTTGCTCCGCTATTGAATCTAACGCAAGTCACAAACCATCTTAATTTTAGGTTGGCGATAGCAACAACATGGCAATACGAGTTATCTCCCTTACCTATTTCCCTTTTCCATATCTCCATGTTTGATTGGTCAGTAAAATGTTAAATGAAAATCGAGGGTGGGTAATTTGAGATCGTGAGAACGACGGTAATGGGTCCAGGGGTTAGTATAGGTCTACCGAAATGCAATCCCTGGAGATGACCCTGCTTGATTATAGGCTCCAAGATGGCATTTTTTTGGTTCCAAGACATTTCATGACTTAAAACTCCCAACATAGGCAAGACATTCACACCTTTCAGTGTATTTAATGATGACTAACATTCAACCACTTTGTGAGACCGAACATTACGAAGCACAAAATATATTTAATGTTTTAATTACCCATTTAGCCATTGACTTATTTGCAACTCAATTCACGAAGGTTACTATTTGATTTGGCTTGTGAAGTATAGTGTGGATGTAAACCCCTTCTTAATATCATGTATGTACCATTTATTGTCCTCTGTTAAATATGGATATGCATGAATTAATCTTCAGATAGTTTTATGGATGGCGGATGGAAGAAGATATGGGTGGTTTTACACAGAGACAGCAAATTGATGATATACAAAAAACAGTCGGATACCTCGTCAAAGAGCCATGTTATAATGAAGGTGTGTATGATGAAAAGGGCCATGTTATATAATAATAACTTATAACAAAGGTGTGTATGACCAAAGGTCCATGTCACATTGAAGGTGTTTATGACCAAAGGGCCATGTTATAATGAAGGGGTGTATGACCAAAGAACCATGTTATAATGAAGGTGTGTATGACCACAGGTCCATGTTATAATGAAGGTGTGTATGACCACAGGTCCATGTTATAATGAAGGGGTGTATGACCACAGGTCCATGTTATAATGAAGTTGGGTTTGTCCAAAGGTCCATGTTATGATGAAGGGGTGAATGACCAAAGGGCCATGTCACATTGAAGGTGTGTATGACCACAGGTCCCTGTTATAATGAAGGTGTGTATGACCAAAGGGCCATGTTATATAATAATAACTTATAACAAAGGTGTGTATGACCAAAGGTCCCTGTTATAATGAAGGTGTGTATGACCAAAGGTCCATGTTATGATGAAGGGGTGAATGACCAAAGGGCCATGTTATAATGAAGAGGTGTCTGACCAAAGGGTGATGTCACATTGAAGGTGTGTATGACCAAAGGGCCATGTTATAACAAAGGTGGGTATGACCAAAGGTCCATGTCACATTGAAGGTGTGTATGACCAAAGGGCCATGTTATAATGAAGGGGTGTATGACCAAATAACCATGTTATAATGAAGGTGTGTATGACCACAGGTCCATGTTATAATGAAGGTGTGTATGACCACAGGTCCATGTTATAATGAAAGGGTGTATGACCAAAGAACCATGTTATAATGAAGTTGGGTGTGTCCAAAGGTCCATGTTATGATGAAGGGGTGTCTGACCAAAGGGCCATGTCACATTGAAGGTGTGTATGACCACAGGTCCCTGTTATAATGAAGGTGTGTATGACCAAAGGGCCATGTTATAATGAAGGTGTGTATGACCAAAGGGCCATGTTAAATAATAATAACTTATAAAAAAGGTGTGTATGACCAAAGGTCCCTGTTATAATGAAGGTGTGTATGACCAAAGGTCCATGTAATGATGAAGGGGTGAATGACCAAAGGGCCATGTTATAATGAAGGGGTGTCTGACCAAAGGGCCATGTCACATTTCAGGTGTGTATGACCACAGGTCCCTGTTATAATGAAGGTGGGTATGACCAAAGGTCCATGTTATAATGAAGGGGTGTATGACCAAAGGACCATGTTATAATGAAGGTGTGTATGACCAAAGGTCCATGTAATGATGAAGGGGTGAATGACCAAAGGGCCATGTTATAATGAAGGGGTGTCTGACCAAAGGGCCATGTGACATTGCAGGTGTGTATGACCACAGGTCCCTGTTATAATGAAGGTGTGTATGACCAAAGGTCCATGTTATAATGAAGGGGTGAATGACCAAAGAACCATGTTATAATGAAGGTGTGTATGACCAAAGGTCCATGTTATAATGAAGGGGTGTATGACCAAAGGACCATGTTATAATGAAGGTGTGTATGACCAAAGGACCATGTTATGATGAAGGGGTTTATGACCAAAGGACCATGTTATAATGAAGGTGTGTTTGACCAAAGGGTCATGTTATAATGAAGGGGTGTATGACCAAAGGACCATGTTATAATGAAGGTGTGTATGACCAAAGGGCCATGTTATAACAAAGCTGTGTATTACCAAAGGGTCACATTATGACAAAGGTGTGTATTACCAAAGTCCATGTTATAACAAAGGGGTGTATGACCAAAGGACCATGTTATAACAAAGGGGTGTATTACCAAAGGTCCATGTTATAACAAAGCTGTGTATTACCAAAGGGTCACGTTATGACAAAGGGGTGTATTACCAAAGGTCCATGTTATAACAAAGCTGTGTATTACCAAAGGGTCACGTTATGACAAAGGTGTGTATTACCAAAAGGTCATGTTATAACAAAGGTGTGTATTACCAAAAGGTCATGTTATAACAAAGGTGTGTATTACCAAAGGGCCATGTTATAACAAAGGTGTGTATGACCAAAGGTCCATGTTATAATGATGGTGTGTATGACTATTATAAATTTAAGGTAGGTATCACCAATGTTTTTTCACACTTAATGGATACATCTCCCAGAAGGATGTGAGTATCCTGGTTTCTCTATGACATCTATATCATCAAATTAAAGATTGGCTCAAGGAACTAAGCAGGACAACACAAAAATATAATATTTTGCCTTCAGCATCTTTGCATGTGGACCAAGAAAACCATAAAAGGAATAACAAAACTGATCTGGCCACAGTTAGCTGATCATCATACTGATTTATGAAGAATTTTTTTCAGGATGTATGTAAATATTTTGCGTTTGGTCAATATGCGGAGAAGTTCCCTGAGCGCCCAACCCTACCGAAGGATGGGAAGATGGACTGGGTGTTGGCGATACCCCAGAAAGCCAGCTCACAGGCCAAGATACACTGGTTTCTATGTGAATCGGACAAGGATGTAAAGTAAGATTTACAGAACAGTTTCCGAATCACTTTGCTTCTTGATTTGTATAAATGTTTAAGGGATTTTTTGTCATTTTGTCACCTATTTTGTATTCCAAAATCACTAACTGATAACACAGATAGAGTTTTGCTGATAGTATGATGTGTAATGAGTGTTTGAAATTAAGGGGGTCCTGGGGTCCTTGAGGGTTTCTGCTGTGGTATTAGAATCTCGGGACATCCTAAATCTTCATGTTTTAGCATTATTATCCCCCACCATAAAGTGGAAGGGGGATATAGGAATGGGTGCTGTCTATCCGTCCTTCCGACCGATTCGTTTCGTTTTGTTTTGTTTTCAGAACAAAACTCAAACCCTTGATAGATATCTTAACCAAACTTGGCACACAGAGAGATCTAGTAGTGAACTGGTGCTCTTTGATAGTTTGGGATTTTTGAAAAATGTATTTTTTGAGTATTCATGGCAATGACTTTGACTTAGACTGAAAATGGCGGTAGTGCTACTTTCCAGATCAGATCTTGTACAATATTGCTTCACCAAACTTGGCACATAGATAGGTCCAGTGGTAAACTGGTGCCTTTTAATAGTTTTGGATTTTTTAAAAGTTTATTTGTTGAGTTTCCATAGCAACGACCTTGACTTTGACTGAAAATGGCAGTAGTGCTCGTTTCCGGAGCAGGTCTTGAAAACTGTAAATATTTTTCGCCGTGCACACAACAGGACATGTCATATTGGCAGGGGATATGAGTATTTCATGTTTGTTGTTAAGGGACCCCCGTCACACTGATGCTTTGCTTCTAGCCCTGAGTAATGGTAAAGGCATGAACATGATGACTGTATTACATATTTGTGTATGTGTCAATCTATACATTGTGTTTGTAGTGAAACAACATGATTTAAACAAACGCTTGTCCTGTTTCAGTGAGTGGATGCAAGCTATTGTTTCTACAGTAAGTATTGAGTCACAATGATCATTTCATTGACCCCTGTGGTCTTCAGCAAACCATGCTTGTCACAATAGGCGACTACTAATGGGATCCGATGGTCAGACCCATTGATTTGGTTGATGCATTGGTTATCGTATCCCAATTGCATAGATTGATGCTCATGATGTCAATCACTGGATTTTTTGGTCCAGACTCGATTATTTACAGATCACCTTCATATAGCTGGAATATTTGCTGAGGGCAGTGTTAAAAAACAAACAAACAAAAAAGACCAAAAATCATTCATTGCAGCTGATGGTATAAAAATGGACTCCCTTTGTCTGTCAGTCGGTCATATTTTGTTTCAAACTTTTCAATATTTCTCCCTGAAACAATGTATTCACATCATGTGCTGAACTGGTGCATTTTCCTATTCAGAAATGTTTGAAAGTATTTTTTATATCAAGGAAACAAGTTTGACTGAAATGAGTGTAGGGTTCATTTCTGGTGCCTAATTTGTTAACATTTTAATATTTCTTCATGAAACTTTGTATGCGCATTGAGTAAGTACTAAACAGGTGCCTTTTTTGTTCAGGAGTTTGACAAAATTCTTTTTTAATAATTCCAAGGCAAAAGGTTTGAATGAGATTTGTTTCTAGAGTATAAATCATAATCAGTTTAATATACTTGATGAAACTTGGTATACACGTCAGAAATCAGACATGCCTAAGCTCGTAAGAGGTGACTTTCTGGCACAGTGACTTGATTGGTTGTGGGGCATCGTACCCTGGCAGCGCAAGATTTTACTCATGTTTTCAGTCACTGGATTGTCTGATCCAGAGTCAATTATTTACAGGCCATCTTATAAAGCTGGAGTGCAGTGTTAATTTACCATCATACATATTTAAAACGGATATAAATGACTTTTTTTTTGTATCATGTTGTTATCTTTGTTATTATATCACATGATAATTTAATAAATATATATATTTTTTGTTCTTGTTATCTTCAGCTTCCTGCAATGCCTCATAAAGCCGAGGCCCCACCCCCAGCAAGTGCCCCTCCCCCTGCCCCAGCCCCATACACAGAGCAGATTCAGGCTGTAAAGAGCAACACGGTGTCAGCCCCTCCCCCTCCCCCTCCAGGCTATCCGGCTGCCCCACCCCCCTACAGTGCAGGACCACCAGTTGGGAATCTCGGATTTGACGCTATGCATAGTAAGAAATATTCTTCACAGATTCAGTTGTGTATTTTATGTATGTTGGTGTGATGTATTCTTGAATGTTGTACCAAGTATAAATTATCCTGAAACCTCACTGAGACCATGTCCTCAGGGTCAGCCCATGTCCCCAGGGTCAGCGCATGTCCTCAGGGTCAGCCCATGTCCCCAGGGTCAGCCCATGTCCTCAGGGTCAGCCCATGTCCTCAGTGTCAGCCCATGTCCTTGGGGTCAGCCCATGGCCTCGGGGTCAGCCCATGTCCTCGGGGTCAGCCCATGTCCCCAGGGTCAGCTCATGCCCTCAGGGTCAGCTCATTTCCTTAGGGTCAGCCCATGTCCTCGAGTCAGCCCATGGCCTCAGGGTCAGCCCATGTCCCCAGGGTCAGCCCATGTCCCCAGGGTCAGCCCATGTCCCCAGGGTCAGCCCATGTCCTCAGGGTCAGCCAATGTCCTAAGGGTCAGCCCATGTACTACCAACAAAAATTAAGGGAACACGTGAAATCATGATGATGGTTGACAGTGGATTGATAGGCTGAGGAAATATTTCGGGGGCTTAGGTTAATATCTGTGTGTCCTCCATGTTGGGCAATACGTGTTCGACATACTTGCTAGCATATTGACGATTTAGACTCTTGGTGGTTGCCCTCTGAATTGACTGACAGTTTGGTAGCCTAATGGTTAAAGCGTTCACTCGTCACGTTGAAGACCCGGGTTCGATTCCCCACATGGTCACAATGTGTGAAGCCTGTTTCTGGTGTCCCCGTTATGGTGTATTCTAAGAAGCTTTGCTATAAGCCCAAAGATGCCGACTGTAGTTTATCCTGCGGGTCATGCCGCGGGTTTATCAAAACCAAATTCAGACCACATTGTCCTAGCCACAGCAGTAACAGTTATTATAACGCAAACATCCTCATGCTTTAACTATAATAGTTCAGGGCAAACCTATACTTTATTACACTACAAATGGGGGTAGAGCAAACTTTAGTTCTTAAACGTTGCAAATAGTCTCGTAACATTTGGTCGTCCCTGCTGTCTACGGCGCCACAATTTGCTGTGAAATCCTGGTTTCTAGGTTGGCAGCAACATATCCATGCTCGTGGATGTCACGTAGAAAAGTAGAAACGTCCTGCGTGAGACCCGCATAACTTCAGACTTTCATCCCCCATCAATCCATCATGCCATGATATAATAGCATTACAGTTCAAAGGGGCTTTAAACCCAACTCACTCACTGTCATGCTGTGATGTAACTGGAATATTGTTCCACGTGATGTTAAACCCAACTCACTCACTCATACTGACTATGCTTGTCATAAAAGGCGACTAACGGGATCGGGTGGTCAGGCTTGCTGACTTGGTTGATGCATGTCATCGATCCCAATTCCATGGATCGATGCTCATGATATCAATCACTGGATTGTCTGGTCCAGACTCGATTATTTACAGACCACCTTCATATAGCTGGAATATTGCTGAGTGCGGCGTTAAACAACAAACCAACTAACCACCCACTCACTCAATCACTGTCACGCTGTGATATAAATATTATACTGTTGAAAGCGGCATAAAATCATACTCACTCTCATTCAACAAATACTCAGGTAAGCAACCGACCATTTTGTGTGTAGGAATATGCCATTCTTTTTTAATGCAGTAAAACATTACATTGAGTAACACCAAGTTGTATTGTTATGATGGCTTTGCATATATACTGTTTTATGGCTGAGGTTTATTGTTTGAACACACTGTACCCTTCAGAATTATTGATCTACTGGCATGAGAATGTTGAGGACTATGAAAGTGTTCATGCATTTATTGTAAAAAATTTCCTTTCCAGTCTCTGCACCTGCCCCAGGGGCAGCTCCGCCTCCCCCTGCCGGGGGCTACTATCCCCAACAGTCCTACCCTGCTGCAGGGGGCTACCCACAGCAAGCCCCTCCCCCACAGTACCAGGCCCCAGCCCAGCAGTATCAACAACCCTACCCCACACCACAGCAACAATACCCACAGCAACAGTATCCGCAGCAACAGTATCCACAGCAACAGTACTACCCCCAACAACCTGCAGGGGCTAGTTACCCACGGCAACCATACACCGCTCCACCTGCACAAGGTAAGTGTTGATGAAGACAAAATGGGGATTCTGGGAAGAGGAGTATCTTTTTTTGAAAGTCGACAAACAGGTTGTTTGGTGTTTACGATGTGTGACGTGATGACTGCGTGTCCTTGAGGGCTGTTACGATTCGCTCGCGTATTCGGTGAATCGAACCATATCCCTTCATGAATTGAATTCGCTATTCGTGGCCGCTAAAATCCAATATATTTTTTTGTATTTAGTGTTTTTTTACTTGAACAAAATGGAATATATTAAAGTGATGTAGTATCGTAACTTGTGTCAGTTTTCCAAGGACCCTTATGCTACTGTCAACCAAAACATGAGGCTATAAGTGGCATTGTTGCAATGTATTGCTTGTTTGCTTCACGAAAAATATCACTGAAATGTTTCAACCTAAGCAATTACATGACGTACATTTACGTACATTTTTAATAAACTCAAGGATTACACCGACACAATGTTTTTTCGCAAAGACAATACCAGCTGATATATTACTGTGAGCTTTTACACCAGGAGTAACTTGTTATTGTATTCTTGGATAAATGTTCTTATTCGTTACCCTATTTTTGTGATACGTATTGTATTTGCCTCATAGTTTAATTGCAGCCCTAGTGTCCTTGTACCTGGTGATGATTGTTGTCCTTGTTATCAATCACTGGATTGTCTGATCTCAGATTGAATATTTACAGGTCACCATTACATAGCTTGAAGATTGTTGACTCTGGCATAAAGTAACATTCACTTCACACATTTGGAGAAGATGATTGAAACATCCAGGAATTATGCAAGCACTTGCCCTCTTGAACAGTATGTAGCCGACCCAACCCTTGAGGATCCGGGTAGGATAGGTCTTCAGCTACCCATGCTTGCCGTAAAAGGCGACTCTGCTTGTCATAAGAGGCGACTAACGGGATCGGGTGGTCAGGCTCGCTGACTTGGTTGATGCATGCCATTGCATTCCAACTGCATGGATCGATGCTCGTTATGTCAGTCACTGGATTGTCTGGTCCAGACTTGATTGTTTACAGACAGTCGTCATATAGCTGGAATGTTGCTGAGTGCGGCGTTAAACAACAAACTCAACAGTACCCAGGCTGACCCCACTGAACCCCCTGTTGTGTGTTTCAGGCTACTACACCCCCCAGGGCCAGTATGTAGCCTACCCCCAGGGCCAGCAGTACGCCGCCCGACCCCACTGAACCCCCTGTTGTGTGTTTCAGGCTACTACACCCCCCAGGGCCAGTACGTAGCCTACCCCCAGGGACAGCAGTACGCCGCCCGACCCCAGACACAGTATGTCCAACAGCAACCCCAGGTGGTGTACGTCCAGCAGAAAAAGAACAAGGGAATTCTGGGAGGAAGTGGAGCATCAGCCGCTGCCGGTGAGTAAGCTCGAGCTGTAGGCCAAGTGTGTTGTATACAGACATTGTGTGTGGCCGGTACAACATGAGACTCGAGCTGTAGGGCAAGTGTGTTGTATACAGACATTGTGTGTGGCCAGTACAACATGAGACTCGAGCTGTAGGGCAAGTGTGTTGTATACAGACATTGTGTGTGGCCAGTACAACATGAGACTCAAGCTGTAGGGCAAGTGTGTTGTATACAGACATTGTGTGTGGCAGGTACAACATGAGACTCGAGCTGTAGGGCAAGTGTGTTGTATACAGACATTGTGTGTGGCCAGTACAACATGAGACTCAAGCTGTAGGGCAAGTGTGTTGTATACAGACATTGTGTGTGGCCGGTACAACATGAGACTCGAGCTGTAGGGCAAGTGTGTTGTATACAGACATTGTGTGTGGCCAGTACAACATGAGACTCGAGCTGTAGGGCAAGTGTGTTGTATACAGACATTGTGTGTGGCCAGTACAACATGAGACTCGAGCTGTAGGGCAAGTGTGTTGTATACAGACATTGTGTGTGGCCAGTACAACATGAGACTCAAGCTGTAGGGCAAGTGTGTTGTATACAGACATTGTGTGTGGCAGGTACAACATGAGACTCGAGCTGTAGGGCAAATGTGTTGTATACAGACATTGTGTGTGGCCAGTACAACATGAGACTCAAGCTGTAGGGCAAGTGTGTTGTATACAGACATTGTGTGTGGCAGGTACAACATGAGACTCGAGCTGTAGGGCAAGTGTGTTGTATACAGACATTGTGTGTGGCCAGTACAACATGAGACTCGAGCTGTAGGCCAAGTGTGTTGTATACAACATTGTGTGTGGCAAGTACAACATGAGACTCGAGCTGTAGGGCAAGTGTGTTGTATACAGACATTGTGTGTGGCCGGTACAACATGAGACTCGAGCTGTAGGGCAAGTGTGTTGTATTCAGACATTGGGTGTCCGGTACAACATGAGACTCCAGCTGTAGGGCAAGTGTGTTGTATACAGACATTGTGTGTGGCCGGTACAACATGAGACTCGAGCTGTAGGGCAAGTGTGTTGTATACAGACATTGTGTGTGGCCGGTACAACATGAGACTCGAGCTGTAGGGCAAGTGTGTTTTATATTAGGTAATTTTTAACTGAATCACCAGTAGTTTCCAATTGCTGATTGCTGCTTCTGGTTTAGTTTATGAGACAATACCTACAGTAATCTTTTCATCTGCATATAAAACAATGCCTAGTAGAACAGGAAATCCAATTTAATCGGTAAATTATCATGTCAAGTGATGTTTTATCTCAATTTTCAAATTTTTATTGACCAAGTTTTATTGTTATCACCTGTTTGTTTCCCGGAATTCGCTGAAGGGACACAATGTTATCTTTTTCTGAGAAAGACAAACATGTTTTTATTGCAAATGGAGGAACTGTTTACATGCTGGTGATGAGCTTCATCCGATAGATGGGGTATAGAAATTAGCATTGATATTGAAGGCTTGTACAGGGGCATCACCTTATGGGCGGGGTAGCTTTATAGAGGGTGAAGGCAGCATTATGCAACTTACTGGTGTTGTTTCAGGTCTGGCTGGTGGAGCCCTGCTTGGGTATGGAGCAGCCCGGATGATGAGTGGGCCTTGTTATGGCTACGGTGGGTATGGTGGCTTCGGGATGGGTCGCTGGGGCAGCTGGAGCTCCCTCAGCAGCTGCGGAAGTTTTGGCAGCTTCAGCAGCTTCGGCAGCTGGGATTGAGCATCAACGTGTATGTAATGGATGTGTGTGTACGCTACATGCAGTGAAGTGTTTGGGAAGACCTTGATACCTGTCAGTAATATTAGAAGTAGGGCTGTAATCATTCACATGATACTATCTGTCATGATCAAGTACTGTGTCCTGAGACCAAGTATCGATACTCTGTACTGTATGTGTCTGTAGCAGGTACAGGATTTTATGAGGAGAATGGTCTTGTACACAAGACCGAAAGGTCGAGGAGTGTACACAAACTTTCTGTTTGTATAATCCTGTACATTCTGCTACTGACAAATTTTAATTCAATGTTCAAAATGTACAAAGACTAATGTTCGTAGGAATATGTTTGTGTGACATTTAGATCTACCTTTGCCCTTCCTTGGACTCACTCAAAGTGTAAACTGGGTCAGCTGTGACTTGACAAGTGAGTGACATCAAATCACACATTACGATGTCACACCTGGACGGTCGATGTGTATGTGTGTTTTTACAAGACCGTGACTGGTCAATCAGGGAGTCCGATTTTGTTCATCTTCCCGAGGCAAGTGAGTTAACTGACTATAAAAGTCCAGTTTCCACCCTTGCCGAACTAGGCTGGTATTATGGAGTTACATTTTGGCTGGGCTAACGAGTCTATGCATAGTCCAATCAAAATCGCGCACCGAAATCGAAATCCGGTTCGTAAACTGTCATGCAGATTTGGGTCGACTGCAGGATTTGCAAAGCATGTGCACGGCTAACTCGTTGTCAACAGATATTTTCTAAATCTTTTCATGTTTTTAATCAAGGTGCTCACGTGATTTGATGCACTTCGCGATGTAAGACTCGTTTTATCACAATATAGATCTTGATTATCAATCAGATCGTCTTGACTGGGTGCCACCGTTTTGTTTGAAGCAAATGCAAGTGATACGACAGGTTGAATCTGATTGGTCAATAGGAGAGGCATAGAAAGGACATAACTCTTTAATAGCCACTGGTGGCGCTACGATCGAGCCCAGGAATTCCAGCCTAGTTTGGCAAGGGTGGAAACTGGAATTTTAAAGTCAGTTAACTCTCTTGCCTCGGGAAGATGGATTTTGTTACGAGTAATGATAAAAAAATAATATTGAGGACATTATAGTGGTATGAAAATGAAAATTACAATACTACTTTCCTGTGGTTTGTACAAAGTTGTCAAGCAAGCCTGTTTTCTTATTCTGTCAGGCTGCATTTTTGTAGTACCCTACACACCGACCCCTTCAGCGTTATTTCCCATTATTGGTTAATTAATTACACTTGCAGTACAGTTTCTTTAACAAAGAATGTTGTGATAGATTTTCAGTTGACACTGAGGTACCATTTGGCAATATGGAGGTGACGAATGTCATACAAGGTCACACAAGGTCATGTAAATATTCCATCAGTCCGCCATCTTGAATAGATGCTCACACTAGCCGAGTTACATGGCGAAGTTCATTGTATGACTTAATATCAAAATGGTAGTTTCGTGATCTGTAGTGAAGTACTTATCTCAGAACAGTTGTTCACGTCTTTATGTCATGACTCAGTTAATGTTTTTTTATGATTGGTCATACTGGTAGATTGCATCGAAGTTGTAATATAAGACTCAACGTTTCAGAAAGAAATATTCTTTGTGTTCAGGTGGGGGCAGAATGTGATTGATTGGAGAAGTTGTCATGCGAATAGTACCCGATATTGCCATGCAGCTTGCACATAATGAACACCATTACAACTTAAATTAAATTATACAATTAAGGACACATTCCCATATAACTTAGCTTTGTAATAGAATGTAACATTTTGGATTCCTATCAAGAGATTTGCACACATGTTTATTATCATGATTATGTATTAGTGATGAAATAATGTATACCGTATTCGAGGGAATAAGCGCCCCGCTCTAATAAGCGCCCATGGCGATATTTGCTGATATATTGGCTAGTGAACAATCCCAATTAGCACCCCTTCCGATTGATCAATGAACACAAGACTTTTTTATTCGCGTATGATACACACTTCACCAAAATAATATTCTAATAAGAGCCCCCTATTTCTAATTTTGAGAGCGCCCTGGTCGTTATATCTAAAGAAATAAATTGAGTGAAATAACGCTGCTGATGGGACAGCTCTGTCTCAATGACACAATGGTTTTCAACCTTCTTCAATACTGAGAAGATTCCAAAGTATATATGTAATTTCAGCTGTGTTCGTTGCTATGCATAATGTTTGTGTTCAGAGCTGTAGGTAACATGATTTGGGTCATGTAACCATGGCGATGTTTGGGTTGAATAGCCACATTGGTAACAAAGTTAACAAATAACCTGACTGGGAGTGTACTTCATGTACCAAGACATGCAAAATAACAGCATAATTCAAAACTCCCAACCTACATTATGTCTTTTTTAAAATTATTATTGTCGTAATTGTTGAGATTGAAAGTTACAGTTTTGTATCTTTTTATCAGAGACACTGATTACAAAGTTTTACTAATATGTTTTATGTCTTGTCTGTATATTAGCAAAGAAAGTGTCAAATCTGTTTTTACATGTTTTTATTATAGTTTTGTTCATAGTTCAAGTCTATAATAACACCTCATTACTGAGGGATTATACAGTGATTTGGTTTGTTTGTTTGTTGCTTAACGCCGCACTCAGCAATGTTCCAGCTCTTTGACGGCGGTCTGTAAATAATCTAGTCTGGATCAGACAATTCAGTGATTGACATCACGATCATCGATCCACGCAATTGGGATACGATGACTGTATAAACCAAGTCAGCGAGCCTGACCACCTGATTCCTTTTGTCGCCTCTTATGACAAGCATAGTCGCCTATTACGGTAAGCATGGGTTGCTGAAGACCTTTTCTACCCCGGATGTACTGTCCAGATTTATTTGTGACCTTTTCTGATGTGGAGCATGATTAAGCTTGATGTTCCATGGTTGGTTGGTTGGTTGGTTGGTTGGTTTGTTTGTTGTTTTACGCCGCACTCAGCAATATTCCAGCTATATGATGACAGTCTGTAAATAATCGAGTCAGTGATTGATATCATGAGCATCGATCCACACAATTGGGACGATGACATGCATCAACCAAGTCAGCAAGCCTGACCACCAGATCCCCTTTGTCGCCTTTTACGACCAGCATAGTCGCCTTTTACGGCAATGGGTTGCTGAAGACCTATTCTACGGGTCTGATGTTCCATGGTAGCTGATGAAGAAGTGGATATGCTCACACTAGCAGAGTTACAAGAGTTACAAGGGGCAGTGCATTGTGTGACATTTCTTTGATTGATATCAAAGTGCTACTTTCATGATTTTTAGTGAAGAAAGTATCTCAGAACAGTTGGTCATGTCTTTTATCATGAGTCAGATTATGTTTTTTTATGATTTGTCATACCGTATTCATCGTAATAAGCGCCCCGCTCTAATAAGCGCCCACGGCGATATTTGCTAATATATTGGCACGTGAACAGTCCAAATTAGCACCCCTTCCGATTGATCAATGTAAGCAAGACTTATTTATTCGCGTATAATACTCACTCGTGTGTTATATGCACCCTTAATTATGGGCAATATAATTCTGGAAAAAAATATCTGCCGTACATAAACATTTCAGGCTGTCAGCATAAACCACGAAATTTATCTTTCAACGCTGTTTTTTTTCTCACTAAAATAATATTCTAATAAGAGCCCCCCCTATTTCTAATTTTGAGAGCGCACTGGGCGCTTATTACGTCGAATACGGTATTCGTAAAATGCATTAAAGTAATGCAATGTAAGGATATTCAGGGGGGGGCAAAATGTGACTTATTGCTTTGAGATGTAGTCATACAAATAGTATCCAATATTGTCTTTGAACTTGCACATTTTCAACACTGATACAAACTTTAATGTACATACATGATTCTTTATTGGTATTGTACTGTCCAGATTTTACCCTGTTTATCAATAAACTCCACATTCAAGTTTAATTTCTGCTAGAATTGTATGTACACGGTATATAAAACAGTGAGAAATGACCATCCATTATTGGTTAATCCATATATTTATAAATGGATGATTTCCAAGGAATGATACTCATGATTAACAAGGTTTATATTTTATTTGTCTCCATTGTTAAGGAAAATGGCACTGGTTCCTTTGGAAAGCCTTATACATATCTCAATTGATGTGATCTGATGTCATGACGTTAAGCAGGAATAATATATTTTCCCAGTATGCATTTTGTACAGTCTATGTTAATAATATGTCAATGTGTATGGGATAAACCTAATGTTTTGAGGTATGTTTGCTTGATTTGTGGCCATTAAATTGATTTTGAGGTTTCAAATGTAGAATTCAGAGGTCTCAAGTCAAGAAATAAATACTTCAAACTTTAACACAGTAAGTTTATCGGCAATCTATGTGTCAAAATTGAACATAGAGGTTAGTAGTGATGAAGTGAAATGTTTAAAGTACGTTGGCAAGCAGTCCAGGAAGTTGAGGGAGATTTTTGGATGGATTAACTTGAACATATGCTTGTGTTAATTATTACATAAATATAAATATATTTCCTGGCATAAAATCAGGAGGTAGTATTCTCAATGAATGTTGGATTGCAAAGTTCAAAACATATTGAAGGATTGTTAACATGAAACATTGCTTTACGTTACATGCTAATGTGCATACACAACTGCCTATTAACTTAATTCGTTGTTAGATCCAAGATGTTACATTATTATTTTAATGTTTAATACAGTTTGAGGCCTTTTTTTTTTTGTTGACACATGAATGATCCAGCTGTTTACATGTTGTGGTCTTATGTAGGTATGTCCAGGTACTCCACATGAAACTCGTACGTCTAAATGAAAACAAGTTACAAAACACTTGGTTGAAAATGGAGTTTTTAGCAAAGAATTTGTTTTTTTAGATGTATTCCTTATGAGAAATCTTTGGAGTCGAGCTTTTACCCTATAATAAAACTCATTGCATGGAACCAGAATATTTTCTGGTATACCGTTTTGAATTTGAATCTGATTGATGTGTTACATTTTAGCGCCACTGGTCTTGCATAAATTATTCCTTTTTTCATGTGATATGTTTAGTTTTAGAATCACCCTACATCACATATTCTGTTTATTCTGCATTTATTAGGGGGCATAATACGTGTCCCAGTGGTCTAAGGTGCATGCCAGCATGATCGTGGGTTTGAATTCCGGTTCTTCCTTCTCTGGGTTTGCCATCACAATACCTGTGATCGTGGGTTTCACAAAGTGGTAAACATCCATGACCTGCATCAGTGTATCAATTCTGGCTTTTCTCCCACATCAAACCGACAAGCAATGATATACAGAAATACTGTATTATTTCAGATTGCCCTTTTGATTAGAGTGAGTGAATATGGTTTTACGCCGCTTTTAGCAATTATTCCAGCAATATCACGGCGGGGGACACCAGAAATGGGCTTCACACATTGTACCCATGTCGGGAATCGAACCCGGGTCTTTGGCGTGACGAGCGAACGCTTTAACCACTAGGCTACCCGACCTCCCCCTTTTGATTAGAATTGCACTGAATGTTCATGGGTTTTTGGCACGAGAGCTGTATGGGGATTTGCTGGTTATGTTTATGAAATGTGATGTCATATCCGCACCGGTGAATGATCATTTAGCATCTGTAGCAGCACAGGGTCCTGTTCCACAAACACTCTTAGGGCTAGGGTGATTGTAATTCCCATACCAGGCTTCTTTGTGGAATCGAGGTGACACAATGCAAGGTCACCCACAAATGTTACCTCCAGAATATCCATGGTTGTAGAAGTTTGTAGGTATTACAGTAATACTCATCTTTATCTTCAGAGATATTATTAACTGCAAAATTATTATTCTGGAACTTGCGTTTGTTTTGAATTCACTCCCTCCAGCTAGTTACTTTAGACATGAATCACAACAAAAGGCAATGCGATGTACAGAGAAAATGCAGTAAATACATTATCTTGAAAGATAGAGATATGAAATGTCCCTAGACTATTTGTTGTCGTTTTTCTGAAGTGATCTGACCTGTATTTACGTTAACTTCGTCTTTCATTACTGTCACATCTCTCGGATGAAGCCATCCCATAATGAAAGTATACATTTAACATTACATTTTAACAATGTTTATTGATGAATAAAAGATGACATATGAACTATTTGTTTATTTATTCATTCAGCATGTGCAGTTTTGCAAAACAAGTGAAATAATTTTTTACGATACAAAACATGTTTAATTGTGAACATCACTTGTTTTAATCATGAAAGATAGCTATATGGATGATCATAGAAGAACTTTTGTAGGACATACATGTTGATCAAAGATTTGGATCTGGAAGTTTCTTTACCAGGATTATCAAAGAAAAAGACATGTTTGTTGAAAAACACAAATGTATTAAAAAAATCGACGATATGCTGCTTCGTCTTGTTCCAAATGCTTTGTCGACTCACTCAATCCAGTGAATAGTTTCGGGTGAAAGTCTACTCATATTTGTGCTTGTCGATACTTTTGTGTGCAGCAGACGAATAGCATACACATTTCTGTGTTCTTAAACATGTTTTTTTCATTGGGAGGCCTATCTACATGGGCAACCATATTCCACTCAGAATGGCAAATCATGACACAGGTCAATGACTGGTTGTCATTTTCTGAGTCACTGCTGATAAAGTCAGATTATAACCAAATAAAACATGGCTCAGTTTCCCAATCCCATACTTGAAACGACTAAGACTAACCGGATCACCGTGGTCAGGCTTGCTGACTTGGATGATGTATGTCATCATATCCCAATCACTGGCTTGTCTGGTCCAGACCACCGTCATAGCTGGAATATTGCCGAGTGCAACGTTGGACAAGAAACATCTTGTCACAAAAAAAAAATAATACTTCAAATTGTGTTACAATAGAAATTTATTTACTTTTTTTTGTATGATACAGGCTTTTCTTTGCTGTACAGTACCTATCTAAAACGTAACAGTACAGACAGCATAAACATTAAAATATATACCATTCATACATCGTTAAAACTTGCATGCCACATCCGTCCGTCGTACATTCTCTCCATCCACAAACCTACTTCAGCAACAGACCGTCAGATAAGACACCATGCAATGGAGTGCCGGTACTTTTAATGCTGACCTTTTCTGTTACCTTCATCATGGTATCTGGGTGTTTTTTTCTGCAGTTCAGCAGAGCATGCTTAAATACCACTTCACCTCATGACAATTGTTGAGTATTTGAACATGATTGCCTTTAGTTTTCTTTGTATAATGTTCAACTCAATAGGAACAGCAATTAAATAACCTAATAACACTGTTAATGCAAAAATGTGAACAGCCGATTTGTAAGAAAAACTGCTGGAGAATACCCTTAAGCAAGTGTTACCCAAGATGAAATATTCATATTTTGTAGTTCTAGTAGACCAGAAAGAGTTCATAAAAAAACAAAGAAACATGCTTGATATTTATTTCAAAGTCGCCATCCCTTGATAGCTATATCTCGGAGCTCGAAAAAATAATGAATATACTGTTTGCTCATGGCCGTGTGTCTTCAGTTTAGAATATGCTCATGTAAAAAAATGTGTATGTTTGTCACTGAGTTTGCATCAAGAATCAGTGTTTTCCAGCTGGTTGACTACTGGCGTGAAATACCAAGGCCCACACATCAGGGTCACGCTACTGCTTTAGTCTCATGTCTCAGGTACAGGCTCATGGCAGTAGACCTCTCCAGCCTCAGTTAGCAAGATTAGACAAACCAACTACAAAACCAAATCATGGATTAGTAGTTAGTGAGTTGGGTCTTATGCCTATTAAGCAATTTTCCAGAAATACTCGCAGGGGACACCAGACATGGGCTTCATACGTTGTACACAGGAAATGTCTGCAGCATGTGTGTCAATGTTAAACCATCACAGCAATTTTGAAACAGGAAATAGAATTCCCGCACACGATTAAATTTCAAATTTCATTGGAAGTTCAAAATGATGAAACAATTTTGTTTAAGGCTGTCGGACTGATCAACATTAGGCTCACAAACCATGATTGCCAATGCTTCAGCTCATAATACTAACAACATTTAACATTAACAACTGCTTTAAATTTTGCCCTTCTAATATATAGTTTGTATAAAAAATATTCCATAACTTACAATAAAAATACTATGTAAGGTACAATGGATACATACATTTTGATAAAAGAAACATTCATAAATATGTTGTAAATACCACAGATAAAACATATTCACAGTCATTTCCTTAAAACATTACATCTTATTTAATTCCTAGGTCAAATATGAGAAATCAGCATTTTGATATCACAAACAAAAGCTCATTACTTGTCATGCTTATACAAGAAAACATGCAATCTGGCCAACAGTAATTTGATTCAAGATTAAGGGCAAGTAAAACAGTCCACATTTCAGACAATAATCACTCAGATCAAGTATCTCCCAGACATGTCAATGAAGTTAATTCGTGCAGATCATAAAACAGACACAAACCATCGCTCCTTCCACCCTTTCATTCATATCAAACCAGGTCTCATTTCACATAACCATTACACCTTGGCTGTCGAGAATTTCTTGATGGCTAAAGTCTACCTAGAAACTAAATTGAGTGCATTTGGAATCGTGTCCAGTTGTTTCAGTTTTGCCGTATCAGCAAGTTAGGAAGTTGGGTTTTATGCTGGGGATAGTATTTGTTTCAAATCTTGAATGAGAAGGGATTTTTCATGTTTCAAATATTGACATAGCACATAAATTAATATTCCATTTTCAGACCAGAATAATGTGGCTCAATTCAAGAATTTCTTTTTTGTGGTATGGACAATCTTATTAATTATTAGCTCTGAAACTAATCTTACCCTTCTCTTAGCACTTGAACTTGTAACCGTGGAAATGCAAGAAAAAAAAGAGCCAAACTATTTGTGTAAAACTTCAATGATATCATTGGATATTTCTGAAGTATTGAATAACATTCCATAGACAGTCATAGCGCTAAATTATGTATGGAATGAGACCACAGTACAAACACAACACTGCACAACACATAGTCAACATGTTTAAAAACATACACAGACATGACAATAAATATTTACACATGTACAAAATTTACACATTTTAATTTTTTTGTGTCATCCACTGTACATTCAGGCTAGGCCTAAAGATACAAAACCGGTTTGAACAGTTCCTTTGTCCGCATGAACATGGAGAATTTTCTGAATCCATCTTGTGCATAAATAAGTAAAACCTTGTTTTCAAACTGTTTGTAGACACTTGATAGCCATCCACATGCATGCCTGTACCAGTTAAAACTGCATACCCTATGGCGTCCAGTTCATAATATATCAATAATCAAGAAACCATTCCATTCCTGCCGTCAATCGAACTCGCACTGATGAGGTTAACTTCCAAGAACAAGGTCTCATAGGTAACCATGGCAACTGAAGCCATGTTCCCATCGCTATACATACTATGACATATTCAGGTACGATCCACACAATTTGTTCTGGTCATTGAAACACGTTTCATGTTGGTCTTCTGAAATGTCAGCACAAACCAACTTCTGAATCAATGCAGCATCACTTCTGAACATGTGGCTATCCAAACGTAACCATCAATACGAGGTTTGCATGGCAACGAAATAAAACGCCCATTCCTTCCAGTATGAACAAGGCAACCATCCAGAAAGGATTCCATCATTATCAAATCCTCATAAATAGTCAGAAACCCATGAACAGATCTGTTGCTTGCACTCTCCTCTAATCAATTGGGAATAGTTTCCAATAGTCCCTGTGCTTGCAGATCATAGCCGTGTCCATCCACAGTTGCTGTGCTTGTAGATAGTGGCCTTGTCCATCCACAGTCACTGTGACTGTAGTGGCAGTGTCAAGTTCCCTCCGTAAACACTCAAGAGTTTGTGTAAAATCTGAAAGACTTGAGTTTGACTGTTCAGGAGAACATGTCAGCACTAGCCAAAACTGAGGGCTTTTTTGGCTGGTTTGGGGGAAAAAATATCTTCAACATATTTGCACAACCCTGAAAACAATAACCATAGAAACCAATTTTCCTCAAAAGTGAAATCCAAGGATCGCTCCTCAAAAGTCTCCCTTGAAATTTCAACTTGTAAGCACCTGTGAAAATATGATACGGAAGCAAGTTGAAGTCAACCGACAGTTTCTCCCTGTAATGAACATCACAGCAATTGTACCGTTATTGGCGGGGATTTGAGACTGGAAGCCAAGGTCAAGGTCAGTTATTTCGGTCTCCTGACAATGGCGTCACATAATGTAGCACTGCTGTTGGCTGGGACTTGTCCTCAGACACCAACATATTCACTGTCTTTTTCCAGTATGAGAAACTAATCCGGGAACTCTGCAAGCAGGAACAACAGAAATGGTCAGTAAAAACGTCCGGACCCTAAAGTTCAGGCAATTAAGAATATCTGGGCAATTAGCCACTTTTAGCAATATTCTAGGAGAATCACAGCAGAGGACACACACTGTACCCATGTAGGGAATTGATGAGTGAACCCTTAACAAATAACTGTCCCACCACCTACTAAACTTTCTTATTTAAGAAAGAACAAGCGTATAGTCGACAAAGTCATCTATATCCCTCACCCATTTTAACACGTTATGGTCCAAAACCAGGTAACTGACCCAACATTTCTCTTAGCCCATGTCAAAATAGCTGCAATGGAAATTCTAAAATAAACATATCTAAAACTCCTTAATATCAAATGGCACCAGTGCAGTATGTGCTTTATATACAGACATGCAATGTTTGGCAAAAAAATATTCAACAGTTTATTAATTATACTCCATAAGTGAACCCACCCTATATTAAATCTTAAATCCAACTTGTTGCCATGGAAACGTAAAAAATAAAAAATTCTAAAAGTGCTAAATATCAAAAGGCACCAGTTCAGCATGAGTCAGACATGCAAAGTTTCATAGAGAAATATTTAACGGTTTCTAAGTTATGCTCCGGAAACGATTTTGGGACGCACTCACACACACGGATATACGGACAGAACCCATTTCAATATCCCCTGCCAACTTCGTTTGGGCAGGGAATAACTTAGTAATTAATCCGTATCCGCATGTCTGACTTCATGGCATTGATGGAAACAATTAATCTTTCACATTAGATCTTATCACCCAAACTCTTCCAAATCTGTAAACCTTTTTATTGCTAGCAAAACCAATGGATTAACAGATTTAAACTGGTTGTATTGTGTCTGAAAATGACTAACAAGGCCAATATCTAGTTTAAATGATGGGCAATGATTTTCAGACAAAATCAGTAATATATATCCCTCAATCATATCGACAGAATTTGGTTCAAAATAATGATTCTGCTAAAATCCTACTGAATGTTATCTGTGAACACTACATCTCACTACAGAAAAACCAACAGTGAGTGGAACCCTCACCTTCTCTAAGGCACTGCAGTCTTTGTCTTTATGGAGATAGTGATCTTGCCAGAAGATCAACAGATCCCTGAAACAGGCAAACTCATCTTAAAACACAGAACATCAGTGATAGAAACTAACAGTTTGAGCCCACTTGTCCTTATAATGATAACATGTTGCAAAACCCTTAAAAAGGCAAATTTCTACTTGTTCTTAGGATACCTTAATTATTGGGCAGTTTGGCAAGGACTATAGGAGTAGTGCTGATTTCTAACACAGTGAGTGAGTGCGTTGGGTTTAACGTCGCTTTTAACAGTATTCCAGTTACATTGCGGGTGTCAGCTTAATGTGGGAGGAAAGCCCGAAGTGATGCAGGTCTCGGACGTTTACCACTTTGGTGAAACCCACGAGCACGGGTATGGTGCTGACAAACCTAGAAACCTAATCGGGGCGAACCGGGATTCGAACCCACAATCGTAGGTTTCTGGTGTACCCAAAGGACGCAACTCTGCACAGCGAATCGCGGCGCCTTAGACGACTGGGCCACCCGTGCCCCCCCTTGGTGAGAGGGATACCTTAACTATTGGGCAGTTTGGCAAGGACTATAGGAGAAGTGCTGATTTCTAACACAGAACAAGTCCATGAATAGTTTGGACAGCACTTGCACAATAGCAGCAGTCTCTAGTCTGGGACAATCAATGGTACACGGAACATCCTGGGGGAAGTCACGTCAACAAATACAGCATCAGCAAATCATCTGAAAATATGTTTGAACTTTTCACTGTTATAACTACTAATGTGAATGGATCTCCATATCGTTATTGATACGCATTGAAGAATTTGTCTACAGCAACCTATGCTAGTTGTAAGAGGCGACTAATGGGATCGGGTGGTCAGGCTTGCTGACTTGCTTGATGCATGTCATCGTATTCCAATTGCGTAGAACGATGCTCATGATATCAATCACTAGATTGTCTGGTCCAGACTCGATTATTTACAGACTGCCGTCATATAGATAGAATATTGCTGAGTGCGGCGTTAAACAACAAACAAACAAACTGTTCCAACCTGAAGTTTTGCATAACTGAGCTTGAGCCATGTACATCTAGGAGATCATCCTTCTCATCACGGAGAGCGCGCAGATACTGGGGGAGCTTGTTCTTCTGGTTGGCAAACATCAGAAAGACAAGCGTTGTGTTCAGACAGCTCACATTCTCCTGTAAGTTGAGGAGGAAACATGACTAACTCTCATATGGAAACTTAAGATGAACAAACAAAATCAATGGCTTCTTAGGTGCTGTTTATTTCGTTTTTTAAAAATGTAGGCACTTGGTCAAACGTAGAGTTCATGACTGTAAAAAAATAAACAAACAACATAGGTGCCATAATGTCTAAATATATTAAGTTTAGAGGAGCTATAAATTGTCAGGCAGGCAAACCAACATGTAGCTCTTGATCATTACTATGATTTTAAACAATTTCATGAGTGAAACTTGTACTGAAATACTAACAATTAGATACAAATTAAAAAATAAAAGCATCAGCGGCAGAATATTATTCTGTCATAAAGTCTTAACATAATAAACTAAAAATGTAGCGAGACCTGTATGATGTTTATCAGTTTATGAGAGAAACTAAACAGTGAGGAAATGCTTTAAACATACTTCTGTCTGACAATGAAAAACATTTCACTGATATTAGCGAGTGTGTATAGTTTTACACCACTTTCAGCAATATTCCAGGAATATCACAGCTGGGGACATCAGAAATGGGCCCCAAACAATGTACCCATGTGGAGAATCAGACCCGGACTTTTGGCGTGACAAGTGAACGCTTAACCATTAGGCTACCCCATAGCCCCCAATAAATTAGTAAATATTGTAATAATAAAAACTCAAGCATATATTTCAAAGATAATTCTGTTCCATCAATAAGTTTATCACGTCTACTGACAAGTTTATCCCTTGTCTACTGGCAGTGAGTATCTCTTGCCTAGTGGCTCTGTGAGTTTATCACGTCTACTGGTAACAAGTTTATTTCCTGTCTACTGGCACAGGTTCATTTCCTGTCTACCGGCATTGCTTCTACTGGCAACTGGCAACATGTCTATCTATTGTGTTCTGCCAACAAGTTCTCCTACTGGTTAAGCTTCTATTGTAGCGGGAGAACACAGTACCTGTGTGAGGTTCTGGACATTGATGATATGGATGAGCTTGTACAGGTACTCCATCTGTCTCTGGAAGTTGCCAATGTACGTCAACAGCTTGCAGTCCTTCTTGGCATACTCCCCTGTACACAGGGTGAGTGAATGAGTCAGTGAGAATGGTTTCATGCCACTTTTAGCAATATTCCAGCAATATCATGGCGGGGGACACCAGAAATGGGCTTCACACATTGTAACCATGTCGGGAATTGAACCCAGGTCTTCAGCGTGATGAGCGAACCCGGGTCTTCAGCGTGATGAGCGAACCCTTTAACCACTAGGCTACCCAACCGCCCCGGAGGTGCTGTGTATATGGACTATGAACAATATTTTTGCATAATGAGTGAGTGAGTGAGTTGGGTTTAACACCGCTTTTAACAGTATTTCAGTTATATCGCAGCGTGTCAGCTTAATGTGGGAGGAAAGCCCGAAGTGATGCAGGTCTCAGACGTTTACCACTTCTGTGAAACCCACGAGCACAGGCATGGTGCTGACAAACCTAGAAACATGATCGGGGCGAACCAGGATTCGAACCCACAATTATAGGTTTCTGGCGCCACCAAGGGACGCAACTCTGCACAGCTAATCGCGGCACCTTAGACGACTGGGCCTCCCGTGCCCCCATTTTCCCGTAATGCAGGGAGGTTAAAGCAGGCCCCCCGTTCCACTACGTGACCTTAGTGCTATGACTCCTAGAGTTACGATCGTGTTGGCACTGTTCTTAGTGCCCAGGACTGAACCACCAAACATTGAATCACAAACTGCCCACTTGCATACACAAGAAAACACTAAAATATCAACACATACTTCGAGTGATATCAGTTCTACAATAATACTAAACTTTCCACCACTTTCACACAAGGCATGGTTAAATTTTTACAATATTCCATATACTTCTAAAAAAAACTGTATTTTGTCAGCTATGATTCGTCTTCAGTGCAAAATGAAGAAACTAATAATTACCGTTATCTTCATTTGTGAAGTGTTCTAGAGATAAGACTAGGCTCCTGATGAACATGTTGGAGTCAACAAGGTTCCGGTTGACCGTTGCTACAAACTTGTCTAACTTGGCTTGTGTATTGAGGATCGTGTCAAACGTCTTGAATGCTTCGATGTTAAACTTAACCAACTCCCCAAGCAAGTCAAAACTGCTCTGCAGAATCTCCTTGTGGCGAATCTCATGCTCGACTATGTTGGTTGCAACATGCTGGAAGACAAAAAGAACAAACATTGATATGTTTCCATGGTAACTCATGAGTCAATCAGTGCATACAAGATTGGTATCATTGTATATAAGGAGAAAACGAATTACTCTACGGAAACAGTGCTGTGTGTCAGAAACTTTTTCAGAGTGAGTATCGTATTTCGCCACTTCTAGCAATATCACGGCGGGGGATAAGAAATGGGCTTCACACAATGTCCCCAGGTGGAGAATGGAACCCAGGTCTTCGGCTTGACGAGCAAACACTTTAACCAATAGGCTACCCAACTGCCCTGAAACTATCGGATATATTGCTATGAACAGATAATGTACTACGTTGTAACAGTGGCACCAACTCACCTGAAGTAGTCCCCTCCGCATGAGGAAGACCTGATCACAGTAGGATGTATCACCGCGCAGGTAACTCTCCACAGCTCGGGCAAGCCAGAACCTGGTAACATACATAATGTAAATAAACATAGCCACATAGTGCCACTTCACCACTTGAATGACATCCACAAAGATGCCCACTCTCATTAAGATCAGACTCCAAAACAATATCTGTCTATTTCAAGATGTGTAGACACATTATCGTGCACTTTACTGGGCGCACTCTTTCAGATTGAACACGCTTCGCCGGCTCACCGGGTGGCTAATTAATGACTTAGTTAGCCGACGCACTACCACTGGACCACAGGCGCTATCACATGTAATCAGTGCTCGTTTAACTGTCATTAGCACCCCATTAACACACAGGCGTAATTCAGTAAACAATGAATTGCCCATGCATTTGACATCATGGTCCGCTCTCCCATTCATCTTTTCTTGAAACCACACCCGCCACTGTTTATGTCAACATGACCAACCAATCGGATTAAAGCTTGAAAAGGTAAGAATTTATGGCTAACCCTTGCCCAAAGCAAGCTAACCCTAAGGACCGCAAAGGGGTGTTGGATCGTAAAGACGTGTAAGTTTCCCCAAGACCGAAAAGGGGTGTTTGATTGTAAAGTCGTGTAAGTTTCCCTAAGACCAAAAAGGGGTGTTGGTTCGTGAAGCGAGAGTCACCGGAGCGTGAGGCACGGTAACGGTAAAGCGTGACAGCGGTGGCACTATAGCGTGGTAATTGAGGGGATGCTAGAGATCGGGCTGTGCCCGGTAAACTGCATGTTGACCATTATACAAATAATTGCTCCTGACGAAGTCATCATGTGAAAACAAGGACCCCGAGGTCAGACCGCTGAAGGGGTCAGATCCGAGGGTCCTTGTATTCGCATACTGACCTCGTCAGGAGAAATCTTTTGTATTGTTACATCAAAATTCACTTTAAAGGCTATGAAGTCTTCAAACCATCCTGTTTCATTTCAGTTACTTAGCTGTGAACCACGAAATGTCCCAACCCGACACCATCTTGTTTTCTAGCAGCCGAGTCAATAATCATCATGGGACAGGTCAGTACTGATCATGTGACGTGTTAATATTCGAGGTCAGTGTCAGTCACATTATTTCTGGGTCTACATTGAAAAGTACTGTTTCGTCACGTACGGATTAACCAATGGAATTGCAAGATTCTTAATAGAGGTATAACAATGTATATGTTAAAAGATTTGATGGTCAGGCTTTGTGACTAGGTTGATGTGCATCCTATTATTGTTGTACATGATATCAATCACTGGTTCGTTTCGTCCAGACCTGATTATTCACACGACAGGCCACCAGCATATAGCTATAGTGTTGGCGAATGTGAGGCTAAAAAACAAACAATTCATCAGGCTGTGATGATGGAGCAGTTGTACCAACCTGAATGTAGACGTCGTAGGCTCCTTCTTCATGACTTCTACAATCTTTGTGAGAAGACCCTTGCTACCCCGGCACATGAGGGATCTGGTGAACACACGACACATGTCACTACTTCATTCAGGGACAATGTTCCTTATATCAAAGTGTCCAGGGTACGATTAAAACAGCATGATTATAATGAGTTCCTGAGACACACTAACAAATTACTCCTTTATCTTTTGTAACGAGATTACCTTGTGACGATTATTATCATGCGAAGCCAGTGAGAATGTATACTGGACAAACAAAGGCGTAATGAACACACATAATGAACCTTTTTCATTTTTTCTGTGAAAAGTATTTTTCTAGTTAGCACACTTAAAACTTTAAAGGGTACACCTAACTATAATTATCAGTGCCTTGTGGCACACAAACAATAAGTATCCCTCTTCTATCCCTGATGTAGCATACAAATTACATGGAAAATCTCCAGTGATTTGACTTCTTTACAACCTTCATTCAGTGCCTTGAATGACCAACTCTAGTGTTGGGAAACAACCTCAAAATCTGAGAAAGATATTTGATAATTTAACATCAATCGATAATCAATTCTTTTGTTGTAATTATTGATTTTATACTTATGTGATCCATAATAGAATTTTGTCATAAAAAACAATCGGTAAACCAATATCTGTACCACCATTGGATAGCATGAAACATGTTTAAGTGTTTAACAAAGTCCATTACTAGTTCTGTTAGATCGGCATAGTATCCAGTATAAGACTAGGCGGCTCCAATGGGCAGACAAAGTGAAATACTTACCTGTTTACGTTTTCTAGAGATGGCAGAGCCAAAGAACCAGCTTTGGCTGAAAAATAAATTCAAACATATTGAAGTTCAATTGTACAGATGTGTTCTTAATATAAGTGTTCCAAACTGCTTGCCAACTGAAATGTGAGTTGTCAGCAGGTTAGGCTTTCTTAAAACATTTACTGTTATAGCACATAAATATGTTAAAATATATCATAACCAATAAGTCAGTGATCACATTATTTCCTCCATCCCTGTGAAAACAAAGGGCAACAGTACTATTCTTAGCTGACGAGCGTGTTTGCCCGTGAGCTCTCTGACTACTGAACAATGGCCGTTCAGATGATCAGAGGAGGCAAAACAAAAGAAAACAGCGTTCCCTGTGTTGAATGGAGAAGCAGAGACATTTGTTTTACAGAATCTGACAAATTCAAACTAAGTTGTTGAAATCGCTTCCATTTGAAGCAATAAGCAATAAAAATGGCAGAGGAAAGCCCTCTGTCGCCAAACTGTCTTGTCACACCCCAGCAGGTACGCAGTTTCAAAGTCAAGCAAGGGAAGGGTTAGCATTTGTGAAACGTTCATGCACAAAGCAGGCTTAATTTGATTTGACTTCAGCGAGTTGCAGTCTCAGTTCATTAGATGCTCTAAAACACATGTTATCACTATACCAAAGAGCTGTTATTTTCAACACAGTGGATGGATGGTGTACATAGTTCCATGAAGTATGGTGATGTGACTAAATATTAACGGCTGTTATCAAACTTTCCATGCGTCTTTCATCTGCTACAACTATTTCATCAATATGTGTTCAAACATGGTAATCGGAAACATTTCTCCAAATAAAAGATGTTTCAGATTGATTACTCAGAAAAGCACCTGAAGATCTTACCATTGATTCTTTTTACTTCATTGAGCTCGTTTTTGGAAAGTAGTAGATGCTTGTAGCTGCAAGACAGAAAATATGACCAAACTCTCACTCTCAAATCATTGGAATGCGTGTTGAGCATGTTTTGAGAAATGTTTTTTATGACAGTCTGCAATATTTCAGCTATATTTTAGCAGTCCAAACAAGTGTCCACTCGACAAACCAGTGGTTGATAGCATGAGCAACCATCATATTCAGGGTATGACACACGTTCAGCTAGGTCATGTCATGTATCCACCCAAGAGTATTTATTTCCCAAGTGTGATTGAACCAGTGAAGATTCCGGGTAGAATAGGTCTTCAGCAACCCATATTTGCCGTGAAAGGTGACTATGCTTGTCGTAAAAGGCGACTAACAGGGTCGGGTGGTCAGGCTCGGTGACATGGTTGATGCATGTCATCGATCCAAATTGCGTGGATCGATGCTCATGATATTAATCACTGGATTGTCTGGTCCAGATTCGATTATTTACAGACCGCCGTCATAGCTGAAATATTGCTGAGTGCGGCGTTAAACAACCAACCAACCAACCAACCAACCAACCAACCAACCGGATCTTCAGGGGGCCAGATGTTGAAACTGTTAATCAGGTACTACACTGCCTCATGATCGTGGTTAGTGACTGTGACATGCTGTAGCAACTCACTCTGAATGATCACAGAAGCTGTGGACAAGTCTCAGGAACTGGATTTTCAATGCAACTTCCTGGAATACAATTAGAAATATTTTAGTGAAAGCATGTTTTACAGTTCAGCTTAACGAAAACAGTATTGAAAAGCTATTCAATGTTGAAAGATATTATCACCAAGGAAACAATTCAGTGTCTATAAAACAGCTGCAACAGATCCCTCAAGTGTACACTATCAGGGAGTTATCTAGGATTCTAAACTAAGAAAGTGCCCTTTGTGGGAAGTTTGAATTATGTTAGGTTGTTAATCTGCTTAAATTGGTCAGTGAAAAACAAGTCACCTCAACAGGACCATAACATTAGTTATTACTGCATAACATAAATTATGAAATACATGAAATTTGTAATTCCAATTTTGGAATATTTACAAACATTTGCAGCAGTGAGTGAGTGAGTATGGTTTTATGCCGCTTTCATCAATATTCCAGCAATATCACAGGGGGGGGGGGGACAACAAGAAAGGGGCTTCACACAATGTACACAGGTGGGGAATGAAACTCAGGTCTTCGGCTTGACGAGCGAATGCCTTAACCACTAGGCTACCCCACCGTCCCCATTTGCAGCAGACATGGGGCTGAACATTGGCCTCTGAGCCTAGATATGCCACAATATTCTGCACTGCAGGTAAATAAAGTATTGAAAGACCGTCAGTTACTGCATACGACAGAGTATTGTCTCATCCACCCGGACACTATATGTGCTGATCCATGCAGTAACCTGATCTAGGTTTTACCTTGACCTACAAAACTAGGGGGCCAGGGGACCCCCAATAATTAATTACAAGGAAGCTGTGACAATGTTAACAGCTGAAACAAGGTCAATAACTTACCGGACTGCATTCACAGGCTGCATTATGACCCCTCAATCTATGCCGACTGTGGTACCTGTTCCTGTTATAAAAATGAACCCTTAAAATCATAGCATGTCAGTGGTGAGGTGAAATTGGGTTTAACCTCGCATCCAAGATTATTGCACTTATTTAGTGACATGCATGTACGCATGTGTGTTTGTGTGGCTGCTTGTACTAGTCTGCTGGACTGATGCGGATTTATAGTGCTAGCCCACTGACATACCATGCCGCAGTTTAACATGAATACCCCACTCAGACACAGTATACTGACTGAGCCGACCAGTCCTTGTTTTAGCCCCTTAATGCCGAGCGCCAGACAGGGTAACAACAAGTACCATCTTTTAACGTCTTTTGGTATGACGCGGCCTGGGATCGAACCCCGGACCTTCCGTTCTCCGGGTGGACGCTCTACCACTAGACCATGGAGGCGATAGCATGTCAGTGAATTCAGTCAGTACTTCAGTCAAATGATTATCTTATCAATAATTCTTGCCGACTGTGTCTATCAAAGTATGCAAATAACCATACTATTAAAAACATTACTTCATTGCAAGATTTTCAGATTTAATAAAAACAATCTAGTTTGGAAAACAATTATGGGCAATTGTTCTAATGAATGTAAATACTTACACTTGACATTTCCAGATGAACTGGTCAAACAATTCACTGAGACCAGGCGCCAGTTTCAGGTCGGCTAACTTCCGTTGTACCTGTAAAAAGCATTCCATTTTTACAGACCTCATTCACTGGGAATAAACAAAACACTAGCATTCCATCTTTACATACCTCATTCACTGGGAATAAACAAAACACTAGTATTCCATCTTTACAGACCTCATTCACTGGGAATAAACAAAACACTAGTATTCCATCTTTACATACCTCATTTATTGGGAATAAACAAAACACTAGTATTCCATCTTTACAGACCTCATTTATTGGGAATAAACAAAACACCAGTATTCCATCTTTACAGACCTCATTCATTGGGAATAAACAAAACACTAGTATTCCATCTTTACAGACCTCATTCATTGGCAATAAACAAAACACTAGTATTCCATCTTTACAGGCCTCATTCATTGGAAATAAACAAAACACTAGTATTCCATCTTTACAGACCTCATTCATTGGGAATAAACAAAACACTAGTATTCCATCTTTACAGACCTCATTCATTGGGAGTAAACAAAACAATAGTATTCCATCTTTACAGGCCTCATTCATTGGGAATAAACAAAACACTAGTATTCCATCTTTACAGATCTCATTCACTGGGAATAAACAAAACACTAGTATTCCATCCTTACAGACCTCATTCATTGGGAATAAACAAAACACTAGCATTCCATCTTTACAGACCTCATTCACTGGGAATAAACAAAACACCAGTATTTCATATTTACAGATCTCATTCATTGGGAATAAACAAAACACCAGTATTCCATCTTTACAGATCTCATTCATTGGGAATAAACAAAACACCAGTATTCCATCTTTACAGACCTCATTCATTGGGAATAAAGACAAAACGAATGACTATTTCCTCAATCAGGGAAGTACAAGGATAGGCTAAAAACAACAACAACCAGGAATCGGCCAAGTATTCAACAATCTTGCTGGAGACATTTCCATGATTTCTATGATTTTACCAAATCCTGATAAAACATTCTTGCCTGTCATTAAAAGTTTTGAAAATAATCCTTAGAGCACTTCAGAAAACAATCGTTAATTTTCCTGGATTATGAACTGCCTTGAATCCCTGATTATGTAATTGTCCTGGAATATGAACTGACTTGAATACCTGAATATGTAATTGTCCTGGAATATGAACTGCCTTGAATCCCTGAATATGTAATTGTCCTGGAATATGAACTGCCTTGAATCCCTGATTATGTAATTGTCCTGGAATATGAACTGACTTGAATCCCAGAATATGTAATTGTCTTGGAATATGAACTGCCTTGAATCCCTGATTATGTAATTGTCCTGGAATATGAACTGACTTGAATCCCTGAATATGTAATTGTCCTGGAATATGAACTGCCTTGAATCCCTGAATATGTAATTGTCCTGGAATATGATCTGACTTGAATACTTAATATATTTAATACTGGCACACAAAATGCCTCAACAACACATGCATCCAAGAAAACACTGTAGGAAAATTTAAACATGTAAATTCCTTTTTCTTCAACTCACTTTTTTTCTGTGTTTTCCAAGTAGGAATAAACCTAGGACATAGACTACTTCAACTCTCTGTACCAATTCCTCTGTGATCTTCAAGCCCTGCTGTAGAATGAGAGATCCACCCTCTGTGGTTGGCTCAGACACACCTGCAACACACATACACACCACTTCAATACAAGGTGAGCTGAAATGGGGTTTAAAGTCGCATCCAGATTATTGCACTTTATATGTGTGTGTGTGTGCATGTGTGTGTGTGTGTGTGTGTGCGTGTCCGTAGCAGTGACAGATCACATGACAAGAGGGAGAAATATGGTTGCAAGAAAAGTAAACATTATTATTTCAAACAAAATTCATCTTGAACGGTCATATTTACTTTAATCCTCATCAAATGGAACTGTTTACGGGGTTAATAATTTTGTAAACAGACTTTAGAATCAAATTTCATTCAAACATTAACTTCATAATTCAGAATACGTAATCAATGCTCCCCAACAAGCATGGCCGAGCAGTCCTAGTTCATGTTTACATATTGACACTTTCAAAGTTCATACGTATATTTTGCACAAAGCATGAATTGAAAAGTATGGATGAGTTTTATTAAAGGTTTTTACTGATTTCTTCGAATTGAAAACATGTTTGCAGATATTTATCAGACTTGCTGTAGATTGGTGTGGCTCTTTACTTTCAAAGAATTTTGCCATTTTTATATCTTGGATTTTGATCTAAAAAAACTTGTCATACATCCGGTAAGATTCAAAACGCTGTTTTTTTCAAAGAACTTAACGTCACAAATTCATCCTTCAAACTACTTCTTATTTTCAGACATGAGAACAGCAAAACTTGTTTTTGGAGGAACATGGCCAATCTAGGGAGTTGGGGGGCATGTCCTCCATGAAAATTGTAAAAACAAGGATTAAAGTAAGTGCATTTTACATCATTCTGAGAGGAAAAATCCCTGAATTCTGGGAATCCGAGGAAAATTCCCATGTCTGTATTTTACCTCCTGCCATTGAGCTAATTTTCCAAGAAAATACATAAAACAACAGTGAGTGGGCATGTCGTTTAGCAATAATCCAGCAATAGGTTGGTTGGTGGGTGCAACACCAGAAATGGGCTTCACACATTGCATTGTGGGGAATTTAACCTGGGTCTTCGGCAAGATGAGAATACATTTTAACAGCTAGGCACAGTGTTTGAAATAATCTTAAAACCCACAAGACAGCCAGGCAGGTGACCCATAAATGTTGCCTGCCCATCTTCAAAGTTACAGATTGAGACATTATAAACACTGAAAAATCACGAAAAAATAAGAGACAAATCACATCGTGATTCTGTCGAATAATGTAAACAATCACATGAGAATATACAAGGAGCTATAATAAAACTAAATATGTAAGTAGTCTTAAAATTATCTGACAGTCAGACAGGAGAAAACATTTACGCAGCCAGATAGAAAAGTTACCAGCCAAGGCGGGCAGTTAATTCGGACACTGGCTAGGCTACTCAAACACCAAAAAAGAAGAAGTGATAATCAATAGTTGAGTCTTCTTACCTCCGATGTATTCCTCGAAGTCATCAACTGTCTGTGTTTCATACAACTCGTCTGCCATTTGGTTCTCAATCCACTCCATCCAGCAGTCCAGCTCGCTAACCATTCCTCGGTATCGGGGAGTATCTGCATGAAACAGATCTGTAACATGTTAGATGATTTGACACGTTCACACGCCACACAACATACAGGTAAACAGTAACACATTCAGGGACTTATCTAGGACTGTAAACTAAGTTCCCCTGGCATAGTGGCAGGCTAATTGGACAAATTCATTTTTTGCTAAACATGTTAAATTCAGAGAATTCTTAACAATGTATTTATGGAACGCAAATCTAAGCATTAAAGATTCTTCCCATTTATTGGTCTCATATTAGTGGAACAATAGTTAACTCTAAATCTACATGAAGAGATTTTTTTCTGACACCTATTGCAGACTTGGAGCCAAATATCGGCCTCTGAGAAGGTCTTGATAAATCAGTGGTCTTTAAAACAGTAAGCAACATAACAAAGTTAATATAAGTTCTCTAATGTTGTGAAAAGAATGAGTAATTGAATGGGATCTTAAACCTATTAGTCTTAGTCAGCACATCTACAAGTACTCCACGTCCTTTGGATTCGAATAAAATAGTGACCATGCATCAAATGAAGAAGCTTCAGCTTCACTATCCATTAATGATGATTCAAACGTTGATATCCAATCAGTGGACAGTATTGTTAAACTGGTTTCCTGGCACTGAGCATTAACTGTTCTTGATGAATACCCCCAGAAGCTTCAAATATGTATATATATACCACTCAAAAGAGTTAAAGAACACCTGATTTTTTCCAGATGACTATAGTTAATCTGTCATGGCATGAAGTTGGAAGAAATTGGGTGTTCTTTACCTTCTTTTGAGTAGCATATTTCAAACGTTCCACTATTCCCCACAATGGAATGGCAGTATGTTGCAATACCCATGTGCAATGACAAATTAACTATAGTCATATGAAAAAAAATCAATGTTTTTTTAACTTCTTTTGAGTAATATATTTATGTTACAATTTAGATTTTCACTGCACTTACATTCTTTGGCAATGGCAAGCTTCACAAGTCGAGGAAGTAGTTCTGGAATTCCCAATAATAGTTCTGAAAGAAAGCAAGAGAACTTTATCATCTGTAACATTACAAAGTTTGTGAAAAAGAGATAACAGTAAAATGCATGTGAACGAGCGCGTGTTTTAACACCACCAGCACAAAAACGGTGTTAATACTCAGGAAATTGGACCTAAGTCACAGACAACTTTGTATTTTTTTAACTATCTTGTAAACAAATATTGATCATGAGTGACAGAGAATACATTCATAAACAGGAAAAATACATGCTCCCATTCATTGATTTAACCACAAAGTAGACTAAATTACTAGTTTTTTCAATTGTAAGTTCCGAGATACATGTTCTTACATACAAATAATGGTCTTCACCAACAACAAAAGCTGACAATGACAGTCTTGACAAAAAACTTAGGTCTTTCTTTTGTTATAAACTGGTTTACAATTGTTTATTTAAAAAAACCTGTAAGCATTTATGCTTGGGTGATGGACGAAATAATTATCAAAAACATTCCTTAATTTTTTCTTTGGGATTTTGCAAAAGATATAAAGGGTTGTACAAAAGAGAAAAAACCCAGCTTGAAATCGTTGTTTTTTAGACCTAAAGACAGTAACATCACAAACAGAAAGTCACATGACAATGAACATTAACTGCACAACTACTTGCCTTGGTTGATGTCTCTCAGGTTAACAAACCCTCTACTCCTCTTCTGCTTGTTCTGAGCAAATACTGAAACAGAATGATCCATAAATAAATATTGTAAAACATGCCGAAAGCTCACTTTCTTAAAGGTTTATCGATATAGTAAAAAAAGACACTTACACAATCATGATATACAGTTTCACATAGGCATATATACTACTCAATTTTGATAGGGATTGAGAGTATCCTGGTGGTGCCTGAATGTGACTGATTGCTGGGATATGTTGTCATATGAATAGTATTCCATATGCAGCTTCATTTCAACTTGATTAAACATCTACACACAGTTCAATAAGTTATCATGTTATGTTGGTTGGTTGGTTTGTGGTTTAACGGCGCTCTCAGCAATATTCCAGCTATATGTCAGCGGTCTGTAAATAATCGAGTCTGGGCCAGACAATCCAGTGATTGATATCATGAGCATCGATCCACGCAATTGTGATCGATGACCGTGCATCAACCAAGTCAGCAAGCCTGACAACCCGATTCCCTTAGTCGCCTCTTACGACAAGCATAGTTGCCTGTTAAGTCAAGCATAGGTTGCTGAAGACCTATTCTACCCCGGATCTTCACGGGTCTCATGTTATGTAACAGTATTATATATCTCAGTGTCCCTATCAAATGTTGAGTGTTACATTTATTGATTTAGTCACAATTAATCAGTTCTAAAAACAGATTTTGGCATTGAAATTGTCTGACCAGTAAACTGTTCATATTCATATTCTTTTTACCTTACAGAGTTGTGTGAAAATGAAAGGTTTCTTGTGCCTATTGTTTAACTCTGAACTCCAATATTCCAGCTATATGATGGCAGTCGGTAATAATCAAGTCCAGACCAGACAATCTAGTGATTAATATTGAGAGCAATGGTCCATGCTGTCAGGGTACCAAGCCTGATTACCCGATCTACTAGTGAGTGAGTGAGTGAGTTGGCATTAACACTGCCAGTATTTACCAGTATTCAAGTTATATCACGGTGTGTCAGCTTAATGTGGGAAGAAAGCCCTTAGTGATGCAGGTCTTGGATGTTGACCACTTCGGTAAAACCAACGTGCACGGTTATGGTGCTGACAAACCTAGACACAAAGTCTCAGTCATGTCAGTTGCACAGCTTGCTGGGGGCCCAGCAGGAATCCCCACATAGTTGTAATCTGTAAACATTGTACCCATGTCCCTGCAGATATTTATAACTCATGTTCCAAGATTATTATTGTCCAGAAAAAAAAGAATATTACTCACATGAGGATTTGTTTTCATAAATATCTAAATCTGAGATCACAACAGCAAGAATACGACAGAAGTTGGCCAGTTGAACATCGTCCAGACAGCTGATCAACCCTCTCAAGTTGGCTGCAAAAACAGAACATATCAGGCACCGTTACCAACACGCACAGACATCGAAGGTCCAATCACATCCTTTGTTTTAATTCCACTTCCATCGAATAACATAAAGACGAGGTGAAATGGTGCTTAACACCACGCTTAAGATAAATCCACTTGTATCATGTATAAACAGACATGCATGTATGTGAGTATGCGTCTGCTTCTAATAATACGGACTAATGCCGGTTATATACTAGCGCTAGCCCACAGATACCATGCAAGTTTAACATGGATATGCCATTGACAGTCTACGGACTCTGAGCAGACCAGTCCTTGTGAAAATGTTATATCTCCTTTATGCCGAGCACCAGGCAGGGTCACAAGGAGTACCACCTTTAACATCTTTTGGTTTGACGCAGCTGGGGATCAAACCCCTGACCTTACACTCTACAGACTCTATCCACTAGACCACAGAGGACAGTCAGATACATATTCACAAACACCATAAACGTAATGAGGGAATACGATGCTTCATTGTCCATCTTCCATTACTTAACATTTAATTCAAAACAAGTCAAACATTTCAAAATAATTATCATTTCTTGTTTAATACAGCACTCAGCAATATTTCAGCCATGAGGACACTTGGAAATAATTGATTCTGAACCAGTCAAACCTGGGCACCAATCCTTGCCATTGTGAATGATGACATGATTTTAGTCACAGAGCCAGATCACGGATCCATTTCAGTGAATTCTTACAATAAGCATAGGTTAATGATGACGAATTCTACTCAACTCTACGCGCATTCTAACACAACATCACACAAAACCTGCTTCAGTGTTATCTGATACAGTAAGCTGCTTACTTATTCTGTGCAAGTCGAGCACTTCTTTACGAGACTGTAGCATGTCCTCAATGAGTTGACAAGCATTGACAAATGTTTTCTGGTGTGCTAGTAGTGTGAAGATGTAGTTGAGTGTGTCGTCACTTCTCATTAGCTCGGTGGTCACTCTCTCACCAACACTCTGAAACATAACAACCGTCACAATATCTTTCACACACGTTGAATAACTTAAAGCTAAATGTCATGCTAGGCATTCAGAAAGATTTTCTGCAACATTTTGAAAATTTCATAATCAAATTTATTACCATACTGTCAGTTGTATGAACAGTTGGTTTTAACTGACCACAAGTTCCCATGACGGTAATGTGCTTTTGAACATGCATGTGGACACTTAATCAGGTTTGGTTGCAAACTTAAAACCAAATTTTTCAGCATTGCCTCAATAGTAAGGTAATGTATCAACACCAACCAATCAATGTATATCAAAGGACAAGTTTGTTGAAGATGATTAATATAATACCATTTACAAAAGATAATGTACAATTTCATGACACTGTTGTGTTCATTTAATTCACTGAAATCTTCAGTTATGGGAGGACATGTTTATCCCAATAAGTCATTTTCCATCTCAGTACTATAAAGCTAGTGTTACACTTACAGTTGTGGTGATCTTGGTGAGAATCTCCAAGACGAGACTTTTGATCCGCAGCATTCTCTCAGATTCCCAGATCACTGCAGAAACAACCAACATGAGGTAGAAGGTTTTGTTTGTTTGTTTGTTGTTTAACACCACTCTCAGCAATATTCCAGCCATATGACAGTGGTCTGTAAATAATCGAGTCTGGACCAGACAATCCAGTGATTGATATTATGAGCACTGATCCACTCAGTTGGGATACGATGACATGTATCAACCAAGTCAGCGACCCTGACCACCCGATCCTGTTAGTTACCTCTTTCGACAAGCATAGTCGCCTCTTATAGCAAGCATAGGTTGCTGAAGACCTATTCTAACACAGATCTTCATGGGTCTTGTGGAAGGTGAAATCGCGTTTAACACTGTGTTCAAGCTTTGAATATTCATATATCGATGTGCATGCACGTGTGTGGATGCTTGTACAAGTCCATACTTATGGTGCTTTCATGGTGCTAGCCCACTGAGATACCATGCCACATGGATACCCCACTCAGACACTGTAGTGTCTAACCAGTCCTTTTATCCCCTTAACGCTGAGCACCAGTCAGGGTAACAAGTACCATCTTTTAATGTCTTTTGGTAAGATGCAACTAGGGGATCACACCAACAACCATTACACTTTCTGGGCAGATGCTCCATCCACTACACTACAGAGACAGTCATGACAGTAATCCTGTATCCTTTTGGAATAAAAAACTATTTTTGTCCATGATCGATCAATTCCTTAATGATTTTATAAGTATCTAAATCTATCTTTGGCATTACTGAAATCTGTCATTTCAGTGACATCGAATGTTGTTTTATGCCCCAGTCAGCAATAATCAAATCATGGCAGCCATTAAATGACCTTGTTTGGTCCATAAATAAATGAGTGGCTCATAGCCTGTCTCACAGCCACCCAATCCTCTGCAATCAGGTGCTACAACAAGCAAGGGGACTTATTCTGCCCTGCTACAGGGGGTAATCAATAACATAGGCCATAAACGGATCAATCCTTGACAATACTGGTTACAATTCTTGTGTAGCATCAGTCCTAATCAGCAACTCACACTTACCTTTGCCATGTCTAACTGGGTGTGGGAAGAGCGAGCCGAAGATAAGCAATCGCAGTAGCACCTAGGGCACAATGATGTTGAATATTAGGCTAAGAAACAAAACACTTTGTTGAACCTAATGCAGGATCTTTTGGGGGTAAATAGAAGTGCTACCCAGTGTAAGATCCTTAACTCGATCATGCTGATCAAAGTAATAAAACATGATAAATAGACAGGGATGAGAATGGATATTTTCCTTTTCAGCTGAAACACCTTTGCAATGGAGTGTGGTCCAAAATCTGGAGGAGTTTATAGGGGAAGCAATCCGATTTCAACCAAGTTGTGGTCACTAAAATTTGCGGATCCATGGAAGATTCTCATCCCTGAATAAACATGACGATACTCCTGATCTTGCTAAACCCCACAACTGAGAGTGAAGTAAAGTAATGCCGTTCATGTCCCAGTCAGCTGGAATCCTGCTAAAACACAGGCCTGTCACAATCCAATGTGGACCAGACAAACTAGTGGTTGATAGCATGAGCAATGATCAACATCATCTGATGACACCATCAGCAGTAAACTGGACATGCTGGAGACACTGAGCACATGCCCCTTCTTGCCAGCTCTACTTGTGACAACCATGGGGTACTGACCACATATTTCACCTGTCATGACAGGAAGATTGTCTTTCCGCCAGGAAGATTCATCACTCAGGGATAGACACCACTGGTCATATCCAACTAGCCCGGAGCTCTTTTTTGACTAGTGGTTTATGCAAAATATCTTGATTTTGGTATGAAACTAGTCCCCATGGATTTTCACTAGTCTTGGATTAACGGACCAGTGGCCTTGTCAAACCCTGTTATTTCTCCATAATAATACAGGAAGAGAAAAGTGAACATGGTGAAAAGTGTCACAAGCCCTGGGTCCACTTGCATAAAACTACTAAATTTCATGTCATGCTCATACAACATGTACATAATCGTAAGGCTTCATATTGATACTCGACCTCACGATATAAGCTAAGTGAATCTGTACACCCCCAGTCTTTGACATTAGCCATAGTGTTCAGGGTTAGAACATAACACTAGCCCACTAGCCTGGGGCTCATACAAATTCCTTCAAGCTAGTACAAATTTCCCCATTGTCTTAATATTTTAAGGACATTTTATCTTTACCCAGGCTTCTTAAGCTTTTGAGTTCAGTTCTAACCCTGGTTGTCGTCCGAAGAATGAATCTAGTCAAATTTCTTTTGGTCTAGTGACTTTTACTCATAAAAGCCCATACACTTACACAAAGATCTACTGAAAATAATGTCAAGTGACAGGTTCCAACTTGTAGACACAAAAGTTTATGGCACAGACTGCACCCTTAGCACTAAAATGGCTTTGTCTAAGAGGACGCAAAGACCAAAGAGAACAAAGCTTACGTCAACTCCCCCCAGCTCAAAGAACTCCACGGCAAACTTGTCCTGCTTCTGGTCCTGGGGACCTTCATCCTGAGATCGTCTGGGTTCAAAGTTCATCAGCTTACCAAGAAGCTTCTGCAAGCAAGGCAACAAAGATGTCAATAAAGGAGTAAGTGTCAGCCTCATTTAGCAGTCCTGCAGATACAAGATCACCACAGTGGTCGCCGAAAAAGGGATTAATTATACCCATAGATAACCACAGTATGACACCAAAACCCATAACAACTAAGTTCTCCGAAAATGTCACACCCACAGCAAGGAAAAATTAATTTCTTTCTGAACCTCACACTTCCTTGACTTGAAACATTATGTTGAACTATACTATTCAAAAGTAGTTAAAAGGTGAGGTGAGGTGAGGTGAGGTGAAATTGGGTTTAACGTCGCATCCAAGATTATTGCACTTATATAGTGATGTGCATGCACGTGTGTGTGTGTATGTTTGGCTGCTTGTACTAGTCTGGACTGATGCCGATTTATAGTGCTAGCTCACTGAGCATGCTGAGATACCACGTCACAGGTCAACATGAATACCCCACTCGGACGCAGTATATCGACGCCGAGCCGACCAGTCCGTTAATGCCGAACGCAGGATAACAACAGGTAGCATCTTTTAACGTCTTTAGGTACGATGCGGCCAGGGATCGAGCCCCGGACCTTCCAATCTCTGGGCAGACGCTCTACCACTAGACCATGTAGGTGGTTAGAAGTTTAAAGTGAGTGAGTGAGTTGGGTTTAACGCCGCTTTTAACAGTATTCCAGTTATCATGGTTATATCACGGCGTGTCAGCTTAATGTGGGAGGAAAGCCGAAAGTGATGCAGGTCTCAGACGTTTACCACTTCGGTGAAAGCCATGAGCACAGGTATGGTGCTGACAAACCTAGAAACATAATCGGGGCGAACTGGGATTCGAACCCACAATCATAGGTTTCTGGCGTGCCCAAGGGACGCAACTCTGCACAGCGAATCGCAGCACCTTAGACGACTGGGCCACCCGTGCCCCCTCAGAAGTTAAAGAAGACCTGATTTTATTTTTTTCATGACTATAGCAGTGTATAGTTAATCTGTCATGAAAAAGTGGCTGTTCTTTTAGTTTTTTTTATTAGTACATATGCTCAAAGAGACAGATTAGTTGGTTGGTTGGTTTGTTGTTTGACACCGCACTCAGCAATATTCCAGCTATATGACGGCGGTCTGTAAAAAGATCGAGTCTGGACCAGACAATCCAGTGATTGATATCATGAGCAACAATCCACGCAATTGGGTTCGATGACATGCATCATCAACCAAGTCAGCGAGTCTGACCACCCGATCCTGTTAGTCGCCTTTTACCACAAGCATGGGTTCCTGAAGACCTATTCTACCCCGAAATCTTCACGAGTCTTCTGGATTAACAAACATGGATTGTGGTTATAGGCCTTCAGACAGTTTATCATTCAGCACATTTGGTCTCTGGCCTATCAGGGTCTAACAGGGATTCCTTGGATATAACAGATACTCTGTCAAGGAGACTGTTACCTTAAGACTTTTGAGACATTCATCACAGTCAAATCCAAGTTGTACACTGTACTGGTCAAGTGATTGGATAAGTTCCGCCACTTCCTGTTGTTCTCCAATCTTCCCCAAGATGTGTGGGGGAAGCTGAAAGAAGGATGCAAGGAATCAAACAATTATTCAGGTATTTAAGGAAATGTATCACAAGACATGGGACTTTAGTCCAAAATTCTGTTTGGGAGTTTGTACCTCTTAATACTGACAATGAGTTATAAAAGTTTTTCTTACTACTTGATTTCAGAGCATCGATTACATATAGAAAAGCAAATGGTCTTGACTTTATCTAAGAATTAACACCTTGATGTTTTACTCCTCACTCAGCAATATTTCAGCTATATCAGTGATGAAGGCGGTCTGTAAATAATCAAGTCTGGACAAGCCAATCCAGTGATTGATATCATGAGCATTGATCCACACAATGGGGATACAATGACATGCATCAACCAAGTCAGGGAGCCTGACCACCAGATTGTGTTAGTTACCTCTTGGGACAAGCAAGAATTAACACTAGAAGTCCATATTGCCATAAGGCCGAACTCACATTTTACAGCAAGCACCGCTGACGAAAGCATTATTATTTTCAAGATATTTTTGCTTTTCATTTCAACGTAATTAAAGGGATTACAAATAGGAACCTTAATAATAATTTTTTTCAATTCAGTAATTTCATTATGATACAAGAATGCAGTTTATTAGATATTCATTTATTGAAGCTGTACACATCCAATGACACTGATTAAACAATCTCTATCTACCGTGGGACATGTCATGGAATCCAGTCAAGCCACTTTCATTCACTACATATGTTCAGTAATATCTAAATATTGAAAATCTGACAAAGGCTTCAGTAGTACTTTTCACGAAACCACCAAATGAATTACTAAATACTGCCAGCAATCACGTTCATGTGATCTTGTGAATTAATGCCTGACACCTGGAGCTGTTTTCACTGTCAGTTTGTGCCATATCGGCTCAGTCTTTAGTATCAAGCAGATTACAGAACACAAAAAATGGCATTGAATCCCTCGTAATTGTCGGAGAGACTATAGTAATAAGACATCATGGCTATCTGTAAATCTTTGTAACTGTTTGTCCTCATTTTGCACCTTTCCATAGCCGATGAAGCATGACCAGGTACATTTGCACTAAGTTTAACAGTGTGGACATAGTTCAGTCAGTCAGCTCTTCGAGCTAACATTCCGAAATTTGAGTTGAAGGATTCTCACAAAAACTGCCGGCTTGTCTTAGTGACATGTGACCTACAGCACAGCAATAGAAACTAACATTTTTAGTCCTTATGATTGATACCTAAACTATTGGGTAGTTTGGCACGGACTATATAGGACTAAAGTCAATTTCTATCACAGCAGCAGAGATCGTCCTCATGAGTAGTTGTAGCGCAGAATTCAAAAGGTGCACCAGTCAATGTCTCAAATAATTGGTTATGTTGCACATCTATTTGTACAGTTGTAGGTACTCATCACAAATACTTGGAGCAGCTTCCCATTTGAAATATCAAAAATAAGTGTAAGGAATGAGACACTGCAAATGTGGTTTAATATTTTGATTGTCTTATTATCTCCGATCTGTAAGGGCATAAGTATCATGTATTGTATACATGAAGTTCAGATGTGATGGAAAACTAAAGGCCAATAGCATTATCAACCGAGGACAACTGGTATCTTTCTGTTCCAGTATGCATTTAACAAGATTGTTATCAATGAAAACACAGCATGGGCTGTACTGCTGAAGTTGTCTGTCACTATTACTGACATGAGATACATTGCAGCTGATGCTTCCAAAATAAAATCTGATGAATGAAAAGGGCAAAAGGACAAGTCACAAGTAAACAGTGGACATGGATTTTTTTCAATAAAAGAACATATGAGAAAAAGTAGGTATTTCCAAGAAGCATCACTGTCAGCAATTTAAATGAAAGTAAAATAATCAGAACTATCACATAACACACTTTATAAAGTTAGATCCTTAATTTCGCCCATATCTGAGTGAATTTACTTTCTTTCCCGCAGGAAGTTCATTTTCTGAAAGTTACCAGGCTTTCGCCGAATACAAACCTGGCTTATCCGGGTGTAGCCAATACCGGTATACTGCCAGCTTTCATAGGATTGAAATATAGACTTTCTACTCAAGCCTTTCTGACTTTTGTGTCGCAACATTTTATTACGCTGTGCAAATACCCAGCCTACAAATGATATGAAAGATGGTCTAACTCCAGGCGGGTAATTTTTGCACGCATGCGCAATGCCTTTCTGACCCGGAAAAGAAGCACGCACATGCGCACTCATCGTGTTCTGACATATTTCTTTGATTTCGTATCACTTTTTTTTTCAATATTCGCATCAAAATGTTTTTTATTTCATTGCATTGTCATTTTCATACCTGGTGTTGTTCATAGTGTAACAATAATCAGTTCTTTTATAGCTTATTACTCCGTTGCCCTTGGTGAATATGAAGCTAAAATGGCGACCAAAACTCCATCTGTCAAAACGAAAAGAAGATGATGTTTCAGTGTAATATGATGTTCTCCCATTGCCATTTTGGGAATCATTTGACATGAAACAGTATCGATTACGAATCATGTCATGTATTGTTTGGACTACAGTTATGAAACGTTTTCGACCGAAGATTGTGCCAGTTTTTGTCTGTGATATTTTGGCCTGCACCCACGACAGGTAAAAGTTCGTGATAGTTCACTGCAATGCAAATGTTTGAAATATATTTGTGAAATGTCGGACCAGGAATCCGTCACTGAATCTGGTACGGATACTGACGAATATGATGATGATGATGAATTTCAAAACTCAGAATACCATTTCGCTCATTGTGTAATTCCCGATGAAGAAGGAAAAAAGCAGGAAGTAAATTCATCCAAAGTAAATTTACTTGATGCTTTGCTGGAGTCAAGTGAAGATGGGTTGTACCCACGTTACAAAGTGCATAACATTTATTCAGATGATTGGGATGAATCAGTGACTGGATGGAAGGACGTCGTCCCAAATCCAAAATATCACACACAAAAAAAACGGCGAAAAAATGTGGAATCAGGACATTACAAAGTTGCAAGCTCTGGAGTTAAGAGTATTGCTGATGTGAAAAGGGAAGAACATGAGACACGAGCTGTGTGGAAATCTAATGTCGAACCTGTCACCTACAGATATGTTCAGAATAATGGCCAGTATCGGTTGCATAAATTTTGCAAAGAGGACAGAGACTGGTATACTGTGAGAAGGAAAAATGCAGAAAGAGTCTCACCTTCATTGAAGACCAGGTACATGCAAAGGGAAATAAAACGACAGCTGAAAAAGGATTTCTGTAGAAAGTCAGTTCCAGATGAGAGTGATTCACAAGGTAATCACACTAAAAGATCCCAAAGTACCAATTCTGAAGGACATAGGAGAAGAACATCATCAGCATATTCCAGCTTGATGAAGAGTGCTAGTGATTTATATATAGAAAACATATCGTCCCGTCTGGATGAACTTGACCAAGAAATTAAGAGGGATTCTCAGCTTAGGAAAAGCCAGGATGAGCAAAGTAGAATGTTTCCTTATAATTTAATGAAAGGGAAACATAACTCGAAATTGAGAGACACTTCCGCAAGAGCTTCAGATGATACACAGAGTGCTTTCATCATCACTCCAGTTGGACGTCAGGATGCTTTAAGGCCACTTGAAAAGATTACACCGCAGCAGCGAATGAAAGAAGATTTGGTGAGATTCCCGGAACAGACACAGCAAGAATGTGGAGGCGGTGATACTTGCGAAAATGACAATCAACCCCGAAAACAAAGTGGAGATCATTCTGATGCTGATGTTGATAGACTTCGGATTTTGCCTCTTTCAGAAACATCTAATGCATACATTGGTCAGATTATAAAAGGCAAACAGGAGAGTTCAAGCGTCCTTGGAACATCAAAACTGCCACTTGGAAAAAGAATTGGAAGTCGTGGTGTGACGTCAGTGGTTGTAGATAATGTTGGTCTCAGTGATCAAGAGAGGAGTACTCACCATTCTAGAAGTAGAAACATCCATGACCCGAACTTGCCAGAGATTGCAGGGCGAAGACTAGAAGTTGCAGTTACAAATTTCAGATTCCTTTAGATATGCGTAATCCTGACTACTTTATCGTCATAATCTAACAAGATTAAGGCCATCAAGTCAGGTTTAAGTTGGGTGGTTGAAAAATATGAACTAAATTGTCAGGAATTTCCTGGATCTCCATTGAAATAAATAATTGTGATAGAAAGGACATGATAGCTGTATTCAGAATATATATCTATATCATGTACATGGTAGGACGCTAATATACATCTATCTTTTGGTTCATTGCATTACTCTGGTCCACAATACGAGTACTGTTATCCCAACCATACTGTACTCAGTAATCAGTGACCTCCATGTATAAAAGTATGGCATATGAACATCATTTGTAAAACTCTTTTCTACTGGTATGTACAAAAAGTCTCAAGCCACAGATTAAATCAAGTCTACAAAAACGATTAAATTTGAAATTCTATTTCTTAAGTTGAGTATATAGGCAGCCACTTGACACTGATATCGTGTAAGCTTTATGTGTTGGTATGTTACCCTTTCCATTTTCAGTTTCAAGTTCATGGCAAATTATTGACATTCTTCCTCAAGTTTCATGTTCAGAATGTTGCGATGATTTTAATTGTGTTCATGATGCTATGCAGCCAAGTGTTTATGGCTTTCTCAATATTCATGATCATAATGGATGTGGAGACTGTCCATTTGTTTTGATGTCAAGAATGTGAAGATGCATGTTCATGATGTGTTAATTACCAATGTACATGATCTCAAGATGCATGTTCATGGAGGCCCCAAGCTCATGTGTTCATGACCAATGTTCATGAACTCAAAATGCATGTTCATTATAATGGAGGTCCCATTCTCATGATGTGTTAATGACCAATGTTCATGAACTCAAGATGGATGTCCATGATCACGGAGGCCCCCATGTTCATGATGTGAATACCCAATGTTCATGAATGTCTGAAATGTTAAGATGCATGTTCATGAAATTATAAAGATTGCCTTCCTCTCTTGTGATGCAGGAACATTTCAAGGCGGTTGTGTTTTCTTGTGTGACGACCGCAGTTCCTGTTCAGTCCGACATTTATGACATTGTCAAGTTGCATTCATCAGCTGTTCATCTTGTTCCTCATCATCTGTTTCTCCTGTGCTACAAGTCAATCACGTCCATTGTGATGAGTCGCCACTTTTCATCAGTGCCTTCCAAGGGAGTCATTACAACAGGACTGTGTGCAAAAATACTACCAGGACTTCCCTTATTTAGGCCCACGCGTAATTACACTCATGGACCTAAAAATGGAAATAGTTCTGTATTTAGGCCCATGAACTTAACTTCGGATATTTATTTTGGAGTGATCTTCCTTAAGTTAATAACTTCCTCCCTTCGTCTTCGAAAGTTGATATGCGGCAAGGCACTACACAAGGCAAATCCTAATGTGCATTCAACAGCATGTCTGGTTCAAAGTTAGGTGAGGTGAAATTGGGTTTAACGTCGCGTCCAAGATTATTGCACTTATATAGCGACGTGCATGCACGTGTGTGTGTGGCTGCTTGTACTAGACCGTACTGATGCCGATTTCTAGTGCTAGCCCACTGAGATACCATGCCGCAGTTTAACATGAATGCCCCACTCAGACACAGTATACTGACTCCGAGCCGACCAGTCCTTGTTTTAGCCCCTTAATGCCGAGCGCCAGACAGAGTAACAACAAGTACCATCTTTTAACGTCTTTTGGTATAATGCGGCCGGGGATCGAACCCTGGACCTTCCGCTCTCCGGGCGGACGCTTTACCACTAGACCACGGAGGCGGTCCCCTATTTAGGTAAGAAAGCGTTAGCTTCCAAAATAAGCCCTGGGCTTAATTTCAGATAACACTTTCCGTAATTAGGCCCGGGGCTTCAATACGGGAAGTCCTGGTAATCATGTTATGTTGAAAACATTTGTGTGGATATTATGCTCACTGCCAGTAGAGACTGTTTTGCTCGGTTGAAAATCGATGGTTTTTGTGTATATGTATTATAAGCTGTTTATGAAATTGGTTTAAGAATGACCCAATAATACAGCCATTATTCAGCCTGAGTAGAATATACATGGATGAATTTTAGCTTGCAATAATGAACAGTTTTAATGGGGATTTGGTAATGTGATGCAGCCTGTACTGATGATTAACTGTGATGCTATAACAGGACCATCTTCCCGGGGCAAGAGCGTCCGCTAGCCTTTTTATCAAAGTCTTGTTTCCACCCTTGCCACATCAAGCCCACTTTCCTGTGCTAAATATGACTGGACTATCGCACATATCAATAGTCCAATCAGAGAACGTTTCACAAAATCAACACCCATGACGGGAAAGTGATTTACCGCTGTCTTTGTTGACACGAATATGTCTTTTTTTATTGTTTAAACCCCCTTCACAATTGTCTATGTTTTTGTGTCAGGGTTGAAATCACGAATGATTTCATTATCTGATCGACTAGGTCGTCGCCTATGGTAGTCGCCATCTTTGTGAAGCTATACAAGATAAGAACAGTGATCTGATTGGATATCATGTTTTCATAACAAGGGTCACAACTCATAATCTACGTGAGGTGGCGCCAGGGTCGAGCCAAGAAAAGTGGCCTTGGTATGGCAAGGGTAGAAAATAGGCTTTGATATAGGCATGTGGACACGCTTGCCTCGGAAAGAAGTAACAGGACAAACATTAGGTGTATTTCATGGCAAGAATGATGATCGTGTTATTGTGTAAGCACCATACAAGCATTCCCTACTGGTGATATACATAGAGTTTGAGGGCATATCTGTATGAAGAGTATTCACAATAGAGTAGCATTTCATATTTGATAATGTGACATGTATATTTTTACATACTGTGCTAACACTCAGAAGATACAATACCTGTGAACACTGACTTCAATATCTATTAACATACATTTGAAGAGGAACAATACACTATTTGCTACAGCAACATGATAGTACATATTTTGGGCTTCCCAAACCATGTTTTGTCTGCTGAAATGAGTAGATATTATGCATTTTGTTGACATTGAGAAACAAATGATGCTTAGAAATTAGTGTTTATTCATTAGCACTAATTTGAAAGAAGGAAATCAAAGCAATTATTTAATTATTGATATTCCCCCCTCATCCCTAATTGGCTCCTACAGGCCCGTAGTGCCAGTGTTAGGAGTGGCCTGGTTCACAGGAGAGCCACAAGCAATATCACCCCTGTGTTAGAATTGGTCTTCATCAACCCATGCTTGCCGTAAGAGGTGCCCATGCTTGTCATAAGAGGCAACTAATGGGATCGGGTGGTCAGACTCGCTGACTTGGTTGATGCATACCATCGTATCCAATGTCAGTCACTGGATTGTTTGCTCAAGACACGATTATTACCGACTGTCATATAGCTGGAATATTGCTGAGTGTGGTGATAAACAACAAACAACACAAGCAATATCAATAGAAACAGGATTCCAGTTCCATTTTTGCTATGTAACATAATATTTTGCAGTTGAATTCTTCATTTATCATGTGTACCATTCTATCCATATAGGAAGCTAGTGCCTCTATTTATACATACCCACTCTGCCTTTCACTCTAGTGAAACCCTGTATGTGCCTCACTCAGTAGAAGAAGAATCAGGGATGCACCAAGGCCCTTACTCGAACTGAAGTCCATATGCTTCCAAACTGGGGAACACTTTAACGTAGGGGGTCCATAACATTACACAAGAAGGTTTCGAAGTCAAGCAGCTTTAAATGGGGACGTTACTCAATAAATATGTAAGGAGATTGAGGAAGTTTTGATTATTGTCATTCAAAAACCACTGTTTTAGAGCTGACTGAGATAGGTTTTTTTTTTACGATCACCCTCATTATTATATAGTAGATAGGTTATCCATGTGGTAAACAAGTCTGTTAAACTTGGTATCACCATCTGATATGCAAATGAGGTCATTTTTCAGGGACTACTTTTATTACCGTAATCTCCATACGTTGATGCAGTGCCTAGATGCTAAGGACGTGTGAAGATCAGGGGTAGAATAGGTCGTCAGCAACCCATGCTTGCCGTAAAAGGCCACTATGCATGTCGTAAGAGGCACTAACAGGATCGGGTCGTCAGGCTCAATGACTTGGTTTATGCATGTCATCGTATCCCAATTGCGTGGCTCGATGTTCATGATGTCAACCACTGGATCCTCTGGTTCAGACTTGATTATTTACAGACTGCTGTCATATAGCTGGAATATTGCTGTGTTAAACAATAAACAAACAACATCATGCTTAAGAAGCTGTAGCCTAATCAGTCCCTGCTGTATTCCATGGCAAAAAAAATAAAACTTCTGTGATCAATTTTTCTAAATTTTGCCACAATATTTGGATAAATTTTGCACTCAATTTTGCAAACTTTTAAGCTTATTTTCGTGAATTTTGTAGTTTTGCACCTGTTTGACTGGTGGAAGGCATTTTTCATGGAAGGAATAGCTTACAGCAAAATATTCTGCGATGGTGGAATACAGTGGGGACTGCCCGATGTTCCCTTATGATGTGTGTGTGTTTCTGATGACAAGCATGGCTGAAAGTCATTTGCCACTACATGTGTATATCACAGAGGGGGTGGTTTACAAAGCATTGTATTAATACGCAAATACCTGGGGTCACAGTAACCCGTAACAGTTGCTATCCATCATCTTGAAGCCTTGGTGCATCACTGAAGAATTATACAACTTTTTATATCTTGTGTTCACACTCCTAACTGGGAATGCCTTGCAATACATGATTAATGAATGCCTGATAACTGAATAATGTTTATACTACTCAAAAGAAGATAAATAACACCCAACGTTTTCATATGACTATGTTAATCTGACATAGCTGTGGGTATTGCAACTCACAGCCTTCCAATTGTGGGTGTTCCTTAACTTATTTTGAGTAGTATATGTTGTATTTATATTCCACCTGAGAACAAAGTTTGTCATAAATGTAAACATTGAAGCTGAAGGCTGTTTATATGTGATACAAACTGAGAGACCAGTTTTCTTCCAATTGTTTGAGGACAAGTCTGGACAGCAATACATTTAAAGTTTTGTTTGTCTATGTTCAGAGATTTTTATTTTTTATGTTCATTTATTCACTTTATACAGTCAGTATTAACAGTATGGAATTAACATTAACACATATTTGTGCAAAAAAGGACTTGCCGATGAGCTGATTTGTATAAAACTATAAATTATTTTGTGATTCAAGTACACATACCTTAATGGATTTCAAAGTAGTACCGTATTCGACGTAATAAGCGCCCAGGGCGCTCTCAAAATTAGAAAAAGGGAGCTCTTATTATCAAGAGAAAATCTAAATATGAGCAAATCTGTGTCCCAAGATGAGTTTGTTACAGCATGTTTTTTTACTTTTTTTTATCTACGTGTAAGAAAGTCAGCTTGGGTCAAAGACTTGCCCAAGTCCCAGTCATTTGAAAAAGACTTCCCAAATACCTCTAAAATCAGTCATTTTGACACCTTAAGGCTTTACCTGTATATCATGTTAGGGTTACCTCCCATGGTAAGAGTGAGTGAGTTGGGTTTAAAGCCGCTTTTAACAGAATTCCAGTTAAATCATGGCGTGTCAGCTAAATGTGGGAGGAAAGCCCTAAGTGATGCAGGTCTCAGACGTTTACCACCTCGGTGAAACCCATGAGCACGGGTATGGTGCTGACAAACCTAGAAACATAATCGGGGCGAACCCGGATTTGAACCCACAATCATTGGTTTCTGGAGTGTCCAAGGGACACAACTCTGCGACGCCTTAGACGACTGGGCCCCCTGTAGGATGACAGTGAAGATTGCAATGTTTCTGTAGGATTACTAATACATGTAGTCAATACCTATGGTGCACATATTACATTATGAATCATATTTCAGTATGTTGATAATAGTCCAGCATTATGTTCCCTGCTCAATATGAAGTGCAGTATTGTAAAGATATTATATTCATATTATTCATATATTATTCAGAGCTGTTGATTTTATCATGTTTATCCTGATTTGAGTTTGATACACCAATCCTTTACATACAAAATATAGAATAAAATGTTACATCATACACACCATCGTTTCTTGGTTGTTTTAACAGTTTGGTTCCACAAGATGAATTGGACATTTGGAATGTCAATGCTTCAAGAGAAATATGTTTGAATTGGAAGTGTTTAGACATTTGCAACTTCACTGCCTCAGCACAAATATGTCTGAATTGGAAGTGTTTAGACATCACATAAATGTTTGATTGTAGGTTTGAATCTGGAGGGCCATGGCAGAACCTGGATGTTGTGATTCCTCAAAAAGGCTGTTATCAGTCTTGCTGTGTGATGTTGGGAATTGTCTTGCTAGAAAATGATGTTCACTTGTTGCATAATGGGAAGGACGTGTGGCCGAAGAAGCTCATTCGTGTGACGTTATGCCGTTAAATTCCCTTGCACTACCTCGTCACACTACCATCGCCAAATCTGTCCACTTACTGTATGCAATTTTGTCAATAACATTTCTGGCGATGCCTGTAAACACATCTCCCATCCGCACAGTGAAGCATAAAACGTGACTCATCACTAAACCAAACTTGTCTCGATCGCAGTTGTGGCCATACTCTGTGACCTTGACACCGTTGATGTCGCAGCCGACGATGCAGGTCCATCAAAACTACCCCTCAAACTGGTTATGTAGCACATATACCTTCAGCACGAAAACGCTCTTGGCCGATATCCTACACAATCCTGGTATTGTCGTAGTTGAAGAGGTGAGGTGAAATGGGGTTTAACGTTGCGTCCAAGATTATTGCACTTATATAGCGACGTGCATGCACGTGTATGTGTGTGTGTGTGTCTGCTTGTACTAAAACGGACTGATGCCGATTTATAGTGCTAGCACACTGAGATACCATGCCGCAGTTTAACATGAATACCCCACTCAGACACAGTATACTGACTCCGAGCCGACCAGTCCTTGTTTTAGCCCCTTAATGCCGAGCGCCAGACAGGGTAACAACAAGTACCATCTTTTAACGTCTTTTGGTATGACGTGGCTGGGAATCGAACCTCGGACCTTCCGCTCTCCGGGCGGACGCTCTACCATAAGACCACGGAGGCGGGTCGTAGTTGAAGAAGTGGCCCAAGGTGGGTCTTTCACACAAGTGACGTAGCCGTATGAATCCGTCCTGTGCTCTAGTGGTGACACATGCTCGACCGGATCCGTGTTGTCCTGTGTCTGATAACGGTTGCACAGTCTTGTAATGGTGCTTGGTGCTACTTGGTGCTACGGCCAAAGATGATTCACCTGTATGCAGTCGGCCGATGGTATTGGGCTTCCGTCAGTCGTGGCATGTTTTCGCCGTTCACTTGCTGTAAGATTGTGATGGCATGCAAATGAAAACCCAACATTTTTATAGCCCAACAAGGGATGTTGCATGTGCATATCATGTTGGTGTGTTTTGGCGCCTGGCTCTCACGTGTTTGTGTTTTTGCGATTTTTCCATCTTTTCACCAAATGTCTGCAGTACCTCATTTTTTCCACACAAAACAATCCCAATCCATGCTCATGATGTCAATCACTGGGCTGTCTGGTCCAGATTAGATTATTTACATGTCACGGTCATATAGCCGGAATATTGCTGAGTGCGGCGTTAACCAACGCACAAACAAACAAATAAAACTTCTATCTATTCATTATTCAGAAATGTAAGTTTGATTGAACATACATTTACCTCAACATGCAGACATAAATGAAAAAACATTCTTGAAAGAATCATTCCACAAAATTAATTCAAGTAAATAATTTTATTTCAGGTAACAAAAAGATAGAGAACAAAAACTATAACAATGAGTCTTTACTAAATAAATAGCATTACAGCATCAGCTTTCTGGTGGCTAAGGAATTGTATAAGCTGGTTAACTTCATAAATACCAGTACAGCATCAGTTTACTGGTGGCTAAGGAATTGTATAGGCTAGTTAACTAAATAAATAGCATTACAGCATCAGTTTTCTAGTGGCTAAGGAATTGTATAGGCTAGTTAACTAAATAAATACCAGTACAGCATCAGTTTTATGGTGGCTAAGAAAGTGTATAGGCTGGTTAACTAAATAAGTAACAGTACAGCATCATTTTTCTCGTGGCTAAGAAAGTGTATAGGCTGGTAACCTAAAGAAATAACAGTACTGCGTCAGTTTTCTAGTGGCTTTTATCCTGGCAACTTTGAGACAACAGTGACTACTGGCTATGTAAAAACGACCAAAGTTGATATTTGTGCAATTCATACTGTCAACAGCAATTCAATCCCTTGAAAGATGATCACATACATGAGCAGGTAAATATATAAAACCGTTGCATAATATTCAATAAATAAGATCACAAAATAAGATTAAATATTTCAGGTCATGAAAGTATTGCACACAGCTAATCAAGATGAGCAATGGGGAAAAAGGTAACACTGAGTTACACAGACTTGGTCATGACCAGTATTACAAACTCCACACATTCTAAACGGACAAGGTATGGTAAACAGAGAGAATCTCACCCGAGTGTCTTTTATCAAAAGACACGAGGGTGAGATTTTATTTATCATCCAACAACATTCTTCCAACTTTTTCAGTTTCTGGACAGTAATAAGCAACGTCTTAAGCCCTGTTACACTATCAAAAACTTTGATTAAAAACTTGGTCAAAGTCCATTTTGACAAAGTTTTTGATAGTGTGAGATGCTGCCAAAAAGGATTGACAAAGTTTTTGACGGACTTTGATGGAATAGAAACCGATCCTATTTCTCGTCAAACCATGCCGTTGATTAGATTTAGCCAATCAGAATGCAAGGAACATTTACCCCTTTTCAACCGGAAGTGCCTAGAGTCAAGTCAAAATGAGCCAACTATTTTGGACTGACGAGATGTTGGAAGAATTAATTGATTTTGTTCAACAACAAGCAGCCATTCTCGGGACCAAATATGCCTTTGCCTACCCCCAACGCCACCTTCTCAACATGGCAATACACAAAATACATATGACAACAGCAAAACATTCTTCGTCAGAAGCATCCATCTTGGCAAGAAAATTCCCGCCAAATCTTTGACGGACAGTCAAAATCTTTGATGAGTGTAAACAGCCCAACCTGGACCAAAAAAAGGTTTTCTTGGACCAAGTTTTTGATCAAAATTTTTGAAAGTGTAATGGATGTAAAAGTACTGCTAACAGCTTCAGTAGCAGAGCCATTAGTGATGACATTTGATTGTGACATCATGGTAACCAATGACGTCACAATGGTCAGCAAAGCATTGTGATGCAATTTCATTGCAGCAATATCTACAATATCTAACAGTATTGGTCTTGTCACCCAAGCCAGTTTTGGATGATAAACATGATAAAGGCCCTTTGTGGCCATATGGTCAGCAGATTACTGAAATCGTCAAATGAGAGCTTATCTGTAACTTTAAAATTTGATATTACCAGTGGGTCAAAAAGGCCATTGTCACACCCCCTCTTGTGTGTAATGTCAACATCTATCAAATTTGAAGATTAAAAGTGTAATGTGTTAAATCTGGCTAAAGGTTATTTTTTTAGAAATTTTTATTCAAATAAGTTCATAATTTCTACCTAGAATTTTGCTCTTTTCTTTCATTTGACAAATGGTATCAGTCAAGACACAAACAGTATTGGTCACATCACAAACAGTATCGGTCATGTCACAAACAGTATCAGTCATGACACAAACACTATGGGTCATGTCACAAACACTATCGGTCTTGTCACAAACAGTATCAGTCATGACACAAACACTATCCAAGTAGACCAAGGAGTGCCTTGGTGTCGATGTGACAAGCAATCTCTCTGATCACTGGGCTAAAGAAGCTGTAAGTTACACACTGCCAACATATCACAAGCTAAAAAGTTCAAAATTTGTCTGAGTATGAGAGTCTGTGAGATCATTTGAACTGAATTCCACGACATTAAACTGGGTCTGAGTCTGCATGTCGGTGAAGAGCGTGAGATCATTCTCCTCGTGGACCAATGACTGCATATTGGTCTGCGTCTCCGTTGTCACAAGAGTATCCAGCGAATCATTCTCTGCCGGTGTCTGAGTCTCAATGTCTGATAAGCCAAGGCCAGATATGAACAGATCGTCTGTTTGTGTCTCCATATTCGTCATGAGGAAGTCGAGAAGATCGTCGGCTGTTTGCGTGTGCATATCTGTGCTCGCACTTGATGACAACATTGGACCTTGACCTTCCATATGAGGATTATCATGGGAGTCGAGAAAGTCTAAAGTCTGAGATTGAGCAGCAGGAGTCTGGGCACCGAAATCCACAGACCTTGGCAACATGGTCTGAGTGTGTATATGTTTGGCAGCAGTAGATGCCAAGCAAGGATTCCAAACATTTAAAGACTCGACCTCCTTTGTGGATTGACCCAGGGTGATATGGCGGCCAAAAACAGTGGAGGAGGAGGAGGAGGAATAGGATGAGGTGTAAGGATCTGTGTCTGTAGTGCTTGTGTTCATGTGTTTAGGAGGGGTCATTGGAATGCCATGATGAGTATTCCTCTGATGCAAAGGACTCTCTGAGAGTCTTCGGTCAGCATTGTCATCAGAGCCTTCAATAGATGTCTGACCGATTTTGTCTCTATGGAACTGTGAGTTTGATCCGAGTGACCTCGTCTGATGTGTGTCTGAGCACACAGCTGATGAGAGTCCTGCAGTAGGTGCTGGTGATGCATCTCCTTCTAGAAGCTCCAGGAAACAGGGAGTCGAAACTGAGAGGAAATCTACTTCTGGTTCCGCATTTGTCTGTGTGAATGTACCTTGACATGGAACTGAAGTCCTGTTGAAGGCATCTGTTCCACAGGTAGCATCAACCATGGACGTTCCTGAGCCACACCCGGTGTCAACCATGGACGTTCCTGAACCACACCCGGTGTCAACCATTTGAATTCCAGGGTCACAGCCTGTGTCAACCATCAGCATTCTTTGGTCACTGGAATTAACCAAAGACATTCCTGGCCCACATCCAGACTTAACCAAAGATGTTCTTGGTCCACATCCAGTGTCAATCACAGATATTCTTGGTCCACATCCAGTGTCAATCACAGATGTTCCTGGCCCACATCCAGTGTCAACCACAGATGTTCTTGGTCCACATCCAGTGTCAATCACAGATGTTTCTGGCCCACATCCAGTGTCAACCACAGATGTTCTTGGTCCACATCCTGTGTCAACCACAGATGTTCTTGGTCCACATCCTGTGTCAATCATATATGTTCCTGGCCCACATCCAGTGTCAATCACAGATGTTCCTGGCCCACATCCAGTGTCAACCACAGACTGTTCTTGAGCATCACTGAATGTTAATCCAAGATCTGACAAAATGGCCGGATTCTCTTCCATAAGTAAGCTCTCTCTCATATTCTTAAACAACGTGGACAAGCTTGTCTGTGTTTCTGAGTTCTGTACCGGTTGCTGTCTGTAGTGACCAAACTCTTCTAAGAAACTTTTCTGGGTCTGAGTGGACATTTGCTCAGTTCTGGCAGCAGGGAGCGCTGGTGGAAGCAGGGGGCCAATGTTGTCTGTATTGCACTCAGCCGCAACCATTTGTCTGCCAGAATTCCGGCGTCTCTTCTTCTTCCGTGGTGGATATGTCTCCCTGGTTTGAACCTCCGAGGTCTTCAAGCTGCGCCGCCTTGGAGCTTTACCCCTTGCCCTAGGTGATCTTTGACCTTTATCGCCACCCCTGAGATCGTGGAAAGGAATATCTGCACTTGCCATGGCTGACTTAAGAATTAAATCACCTGGAGTCTGAGTTTCGGCAATGGAACAATGTCGTTTCTTAGTAGACAGGATGCTGAGATTTGTCTGCATCCCTGTCGATGATGTCACCAAAGAATGAGATGGAACAATCACGTGAGATTTGCCAAGTGAAACCTGTGTTGCTGTGGTAGCCATGGCAACATTTTTTGACAAATGGAGATTGGATGGATCCTTAACCACAGCTCTCTGTTCTAGGGGGTTACTGACGCCATAGATGTCCGTCTGTATTTCAGCGGTCTGTTTGGCAGGGAAGTCAAACTTTTCCACGGATATCTTATTGGAATTGACAGTGACTCTTGTCATGGGAATGACTGTTTTAATCATGGGTTTGGGCAGGATCTGGCGTAGTGGCCCAGGGGCAGTATTGACCTGGGGGTCCATCTGAGACACGAAGATCACGCAGGGCTGGGGACAGGAGTTGGATTTGTTCGCTGGGGGGTCAGGCTTTGTCTGTTTACGACATCTGGAAAAGGAATAGAGTGTCAGCTGCTACTGTCATCATGTTAACAATCACACAAAACACAAAACAAACAAAGGTGTGAAAATATGAAGGCCTGGGATAGAAATACACACTAGCCTGATTGCCTGAATCCATTTTGCTAATATTAAATGTATTCTTAGAGCTACTTGAATTTTAGAGGCTCTTTGTATTTTATCACTCTCTGAGCAAGAACAAATGTCAGGTTCACTGCTGAAATTCGTACTGGTTTAAATTTTTTGTCAACAGCTTAATCATTTCCCTGTCATCAGCCTTGGAAACGTCAAGGAAGGAGCTCGACTATTGATCTCTGTGAAAATGAACAATTATTAGGTGAAAATAATGGCTATTGTTTATTTGTTACAAAAGATATTTTGCATCATATGTAAATCTTTTATCAATATTGTCAACATTTTTAAGTTAGTAGTAAGTAAGAGGTAAGAAGTAAGAAAAGAAATAACATACAAAAGTTTTCAAATGCAATATGCTTCTCAAAAGAATTTAAAAAACATCTGATTCTTAATCGGGTCATCAAGTTCTACTGCAGAAGGCTGTACTGGCTAAAGACAGATTAACTATAGTAATATGAAAGAATCGGGTGTTCTCCAACTTCTGTTTAGTAGTCTACAGGAAATGGTTCTTACAGGTGAAATGTCTTGTTTTGTAACCTAGGAACTGCTGCATTCTAACATGGCTACTTATTGATCAACTGTCAGAAATGTAGCTGATCATACCTATGCAGGCAGTAAACAAGTGAACTGGTGTAAAGGCAGGGGTAGATTTAAGAACAAGTTTCTATGTATCCAGCAGGGCTTGCTCCCATTCAAAGTTACTGGCCCTTCTCTAAGATGGCCTACAACTAAATGGTGGAGGCTGCGAAGTGGCCGAACCTGAGGTCACGTAGCCACCTAGCAGGGCTCTGAAAATTTTAGAACTCCTCACCCTTAACGTATTTTTCTGCACTCTGAGATTAAATCTTGGCTTCCCTTTGCCCCATTTCATGCTTATTTATGAGCAAATAAAGAAGTTGTAACACGACGTATTAAAGTGGCATCAGTTGTCATTCTATTGAGATGATCCAATTAAAAAATTAAACATACACGGAGAAGGGGTGAAATTTTGACAAGCAGACAGGCTAAAAACTTTACGCTACAGCAAGCCCTTTGTAATTTTAACTGGCCACGGACCAACAGGCCAGCAGTTAAATCGACCCCTGTAAATGGCATGCTTGGTCTTCAGCAAACCCAGCTTATGGAAATATCAAGTATTTTCATTCATACTTCATTTCTACAAATCTAAAACCAACAGATTGGAAATAATACCAAATTTTCATAAATTCTTCAGTCATTTCCATTTTAAGAAATTTGACATGCAAACATTGCAGCAAGTCTGTCTACTCACATGTTTTTGGACTTTTCTGAGTTAAACTTTCTCATTGTTTCCTTGACAGAATCTGGAAGTTCATGTAGCTTGCGAGTACAGTGCATCATTAGAGCTTCCTTTGTGGTGTAGGGGCAATCACACGTGTGACACTTATATATCACACCACAGGTGCCTTCGTGACGCTTCCTGGCATGGTCAAAGCCAAACGCTTTCTGGCATTTGGAGCAGGTGAACTTCTTGCCTCCATGAATGCTTCCATAGTGCTGTAGATGTATACATGATAACATATTTAAGCCAAATGTTAACGCATCTGTCTTATTGGGAAGAGAATATATGGATGTCAACTTCTTTATTATGAGGAACACAACGTTTCAGAGTATATGCCTACTCCTTCATCATTCACCTGATGAAGGAGTAAGCATATACTCCAAAACGTTGTGTTCCTCATAATAAAGAAGTTGACATCGATAAATTCTCTTCCGAATGTGAATCACTTCTAAATGCCTTTCAAAGATCTGTCTTATTATAAACTCATTACCCGGTACATTTTCAGATGGAAATATGTCGGATTGTATGTTTTGTAACGCATGTCATGTGACTTAAAATTGCATTTAATCAAATATTGTTTACAATTGAAATCATCTCAATTTCATGTTACATAATAAATTTTACCTTTGCCATTCTTTTCAAATAACTTTTAATTCTATTATAGCGTCAGGGTGTTCAATTAGTATGCCTGACTTGCCCGACCCATGAAAATAAAGTCCCGGGCAAGTGGGAAAATATAATTTAGTCGCCTCGGGCAAGTATAAAAAACAGAAGTATTAACTTTAAAACTTAGAAGATGCATCGTGTGTTTGTCAACAGTCAGATGAAGTACCTGACTCGTCACTTTTCTATTCTTAACATCTCCCGTTAGCTGTTGCTTCAGTGAATGAAGTCTTATTATCAAAATTAGTTTCCTTCTTTTCTCTGATTCAACAGAGCAAATTGAAAATCTGGCTGTGCAAGTAGAGTTTTAAAGTGACTTGTCCCTGGGCAAGTAGGAAATATGGTATTTGAACACCCCAGGAACATTTTTTGCAGTAAATTGAAATTCTCCTGGGCTTACCTTTTTGAGGAGTTTGTAGTTGGCAAAGTGTCTCTCTCTAAGGTAGTAGCAGCCGAATACTGGGCAGTGATAGTGACAAGGTATTCCACCGTTTCCTTTAGACTTCAACTTATCCTGTAATAGTTCAAGTACATGGTCACATTCAGATTCAGTCAACATGTAATCAAATAATGTCGTCTTCATAGTTATCATGGCCTTGCTGTCTAAAATCCAAATCACTGTATAAATAACCTGGCTGTAATTGTAATGTCTGACAGTGACAATTTCAAATCTTCCGGGGGAAAGGAAGATAAATGATTATTAAAGTCCAGTTGCCACCCTTGCCGAACTAGGCTGGAATTATGGAATTATGTCTGGGACTAACGAGTCTATACATGGTCCAATCAAAATCGCGTAATGAATTCAACATCCGGTTCGTAAACTCCCTTGCCGATTTCGGTTGATTGCAGGATTTGTAAAGCATGTATACCGCCATCTCAGCGTCAGCAGATATTTCCAAATCTTTTCATGTTTATGATGTGGTGGTCACGTGATTTGATGAACTTCGCAAAGAAAGACCTGTTTTAGTACAACATGGATTTTGATTATCAATCAGATTGTCTTGACTGGGCACTGCCATTTTGTTTGAAGCAAATGCAAGAGATATGAGAGGTGGAGTCTGATAGGTCAATAGGAGGGACATAGAAGGGACATAATTCATAATTGCCACTGGTGCCGCTACGATCGAGCCCACAAATCCAGAAACTGGACTTTTACAGTCAGTTAACTCCCTTGCCTTGGAGGTGAGGTGAAATTGGGTTTAACGTCGCGTCCAAGATTATTGCACTTATATAGCGACGTGCATGCACGTGTGTGTCTGTGGCTGCTTGTACTAGTCCGGACTGATGCCGATTTCTAGTGCTAGCCCACTGAGATACCATGCCGCAGTTTAACATGAATACCCCACTCAGACACAGTATACTGACTCCGAGCCGACCAGTCCTTGTTTTAGCCCCTTAATGTCGAGCGCCAGACAGGGTAACAACAAGTACCATCTTTTAACGTCTTTTGGTATGACGCGGCCGGGGATCGAACCCCGGACCTTCTGCTCTCCGGGCGGACGCTCTACCACAAGACCACTGAGGCGGCCCTTGCCTTGGAAGATGCAATTTCAAGGACCTACTCCACGTCATACATGTTAGAAATGCTGTAGCTTTATGATGTTTAGAAAACTAGTTGAGAAGGTGTCCAACAGTCAAGACAAGACCCCACCCCTTGGTGAGAATAGGAGCCTTATGAATATATCTGGATTCCAGTGGCGAATTTAGGATGCTATTTCTCATACCACTGACAAGTCTGAAACGAAACAGATAATTAGTGGTGCATGCACTGAATATGTCAACTTCAGTGATAGAGTGACAAATGTTGTTTTAAAGGATTTAAAGGGACAGTATGTCAACAGTTCTGTGTGTTTTAAAATCATGCATGAAATAATTGCTGAGTGTGATGTCACTTGCCTGATTCAGTTCTCAAACCAAAACAATAAAGCTCTGCACAGTGAAGCTGACAACACAAGCGCTATGCAGAGTGAACTGGCTTCAGTCTTGTTTTTTTAATAGAGGCAAACTGGAGAGGACATTGGAGGAAGCATGAGTTGCTTTCTTACAGTTGAGTCACAAAATACTTAATGCCAGCTTGATTAGATCATGTAGATTAGGAGATAGTGTTTATCAAAGCCTAGTTTACAAATCAAATATGCCTCGGTTGTACCAAGCCAATCACTCTCCTACCCAGAGTTCCTTGTGGCCAGCCGAGTACCTCTGTCACATCGTCACATCTTACACAGTCCATTCATGTGTTTTTCATGTGTTTCATTTTGGACGAGTCTACACATTTAGATTAACAAAACTATTTCCATTTCCGTATTCATCCTCAACGTCCTGTCATCAAAGCCCTACGGAGAGCTAGTAGTACCGTCACTCTGATGTGTAAAGCTATAAAGCTTCAGAACAGTTGACGTCCTGTCCCTTTAACGCATAAAAACATAGCCAAATGTAGAATACAAACATGACAGGTACGTAGATAAATATTTTTTCACTGGGTGAAAGGGACCAAAATTTAAGTTTCAATTTTTATCTGGGTGCTGTTAAAATATCTGAGGAATGTAGCACCTAAAATTGCCACTGGAATTTATTTATGAAGTTTATGAAGCGCCCGCGATGCAGGGTTTTGTCTTGAATGTTAGGCCCCTTAACGACTGTCAGGGTTACCTTTAGAATTCAACACCACAAATCTTTACAAACATGTCACAATACCCTAAGACGTAATTTGTGAAATTTTGTTGCAAAACACACTGGCGAAACAATATCCTGTGATGTCAGCCTAGCAACAGAGTTGCTGGGGTTGTTGAGTGTGCATGAGCTCCTCTCAGTGATCTATCATCTCTGCACGCAATGTCATTGAATAAACTGAGCGATGTTGAGAGAGTTTTGAAAATTTGTTTACTAAATATAGACTGCGACGGCACATTTTATAGGAAGTGCTAGTTTACGAAAGCACTTTTTATGTTCAACATGTTCAATATATTTTATTTTTCTGTTTCAACTTAATTCATTATTGATAAGGGTTGTTGCTGTTTTGAGTATATGAACTGAACTTCATTGTTGCAAAATTAATATGTATACATATTTGCTTTATACTAAACTACATAACTGTACATACACCATGTACACATTTACAAACGCAAACAAATTTGCAAGGTAAAAGGTTTCAGTAAGCATCATCCAATCGCATGGGAGGATTCAAGGGCAATCCCCCTCGCTGGTCTGAAGCCGAGTTTGTTTGGTTGCAGATGCTAATAGGTATCTGGTGATTATGCAGGCTGATTAAAATGGTGCTGGCTTGATGACGGATAGTTGCAGTGCTGTTTCCATTTAACAGTGTGATGTAGCTCAGTCTGTTTATAATATACGTTGTTGTTGGGCTGACAATGCAAGGACGCAAGTTTTCTACCGACGGATTCCATAAAAACTGGTTGCTTGTCTTAAATGACCTAATGACCTAAAAGGGGTTTTGGATCGTAAAGACGTGTAAGTTTCCCTAAGACCGAAAACGGGTGTTGGATTGTAAAGACGTGTAAGTTTCCCTAAGACCGAAAAACGGGTGTTGGATCGTAAAGTTGTGTAAGTTTCCCTAAGACCTAGAACGGGTGTTGGATCGTAAAGATGTGTAAGTTTCCCTAAGACCGAGAATGGGTGTTTGATTGTAAAGATGTGTAAGTTTCCCTAAGACCGAAAACGGGTGTTGGATCGTGAAGCGAGAGTCACCAGAGCGTGAGGCACGGTAACGGTATAACGAGACAGCGGTGGCACTATAGCGCGGTAATTGAGCGGATGGTAGAGCTCGGGCTGCGCCCGGTAAACTGCATTGTTGCCGACATGTGACCTACGGAAGAGATTGTGCTCACAAGAAGTTGTGGTGTGGTATATTTGGTAAGACTTTGATACCTCCCCTCAAACTATAAGTAAATGGATTGAGCAGCAATGCACACATTAATAACTTTTGGAATGGCGATACGGGCGTGAGTCTTTCCGTATATTTAAGGTGCTCCCTCTCAGTCTCAGGGAGTGAAAAACTTGACACTGTAATGACATGTACCAGAATCCAACAGCATAATGGAGTGTTTGTCATCATGTACAAATATCAGTTTTGATCACTGATGAATTACGGCGAAACTACTCACCACTTCAATTCCATGGACTTTAGCTTTGTGGAGACTCAGATGTGATGAATTCTTGAATGTTTTGTCACAGCCTTCCACTGGGCAGACAGTTTCAATGGATGGCTGAATATCCGCTTCCAAAGTTTCGATTGATGGTCTGATCTCTTGAAACATTGCTGCCATTATTCAAAATATTGAGTTTTCATTTCCATCATCTATATTCCACCGACAGAAAACTTTTCTCAGCGATTCCGGTCCTCGATCATGTTTACTGTAACAACAGGGAGAGTTGTCCGCCCTTGGTCGATAAAAGTATCGCAGCGATTTTAGAAAACTTAACATAATATCATATGCATTAATACCGTTCCATTATATTTGTTTGTTTTATAATACATGAAATGCTATATAGTACTATATTTTACGTTATTAAGCATTAACGTTCATAATTAAAATTAAAAACTAGGATCCATAAGTGGAATGAGCACTCCAGACGTTTACGTCATTAACCAATGACAGTCGAAAGTTTTAAGAATACGCTGATTCAAAGAACTGGCGGAAATAGTGTCAAGTTGATTGCAAAGTTATTCGCTTTGGGTGAATGTTATAGTGAATGCGGATGCAATGATTGCGTGATTATAAACTAAAATAAACGAATTGTTTGCAATTTGAGATATGGTTACGAATTAGTTTCTTATTTTTAAGGTTACGAAATTACCAGTGTTACGAATTCTTTAGGGGTTCGAACTCGTTTCGGTTACGAAATTACATACTCCAGCTAAAACGTCTTCAAATTGGCTTGCCTATTCATTTTCAATAATATGAATAATTGAATATCTATTTTTTAGACACCTGAATTATCTCCATCGATATTTTCAAAGTAATTATTTGAAATGATAAGAAGTTAAGAACAACTAAATACAAAGTACCTGCCTAGGGCTGCCTTACCAACGGTGAAAACATCACAGTGAAATGATGCTGTACCAGAGGCCATATTTGCAGTTGTTCGACTCCTTATTGAGTTCGTCTTTTGTATAAAAAACACCATTTGTGCGGGATGTAAACATGTCTGCGCCCTTTCCAAACGCGAGTCCTTCAGGGAAACTCGTCTTTGAAAAATCGTCTTTCCTTCACAAGAACAGCCGACATAAGAAATTTATATCAGAACATTATTTTAATGCATCTGTGGGTATTTAGGCATAATTTCATACACGTCTAAGAGCGAGGCAATTTGTTATCTGTTTTCAACAATGGTTGAAATAACGTGTTTAGGTTAAAACCATGTTGGGATGACCGTATCGAGACGATAAAATCTAAACAGAGTATGTGTCATACGCCTATAAAAACGTCGGACCATACACGACCCATATATCGGTTTGTTGTTCAGGCGTCACACAGCAATATTCCACCGATATGACGCCAGTCTGTTAATAATAAAGTCTGGCCAAGACAATCCAGTGATTGACATCATGAGCATCGATCCATGAGACGATGACATGCAATCATTAACCTGTGGGGATTCTAGATAAGAAAGGTCCCCAGCAGCCAATGCATGTGGCATATACTGGTTCTATCTCTTGATTTATTTATCTTGTGTGCCCCTTGGCTCCCCTTTCCAATCAAGCACCCCCTTACAATCGTGGGTTTGATCCCCCTTTCGAGTAAAATACCTCAGAAATAAAAACATGAGAAAAATACAAACATTTGTTGCAAAATAGTTTTTTCCCAAGCTGACAGTCATGATACTTACCCAAACATTAGGGATCCGTGGAGATCCGGGGTAGAATAGGTCTTTAGCAACCCATGCCTGCCGTAAAAAGCGACTATGCTTGTCGTAAAAGGCGACTAACGGGATCGGGTGGTCACACTCGCTGACTTGGTTGATGCACGGTCATCGATCCCAATTGCGTGGATCCATGCTCATGATATCAATCACTGGATTGTCTGGTCCAGACTTGATATTTACAGACCACCGTCATATAGATGGAATATTGCTGAGTGCGGCGTTAAACAACAAACCAACCAACCAAACAACCCAAACATAAGGGGCTACTAAACCTCACTAGGGCGGTCGGGTAGCCTAGTGGTTAAAGCGTTCGCTCGTCACGCCGAAGACCCGGGTTCGAATCCCGACATGGGTACAATGTGTGAAGCCCATTTCTGGTGTCCCCCGCCGTGATATTGCTGGAATATTGCTAAAAGCGGCGTAAAACCAAACTCACTCACTCACTAAACCTCACTAACTCAGTTATGACCTTTTCTGCCAGGTTTCTATCCTACTTCCAGGGGAGGTTATTCCCCCAAACATCTCCAGCCAGCTGGACAATGAGGAAGCCTACCTGGTTCACAGACTGCCGCTGATTCGACTCATAGACAAGGAATTCATTGAGGCATTTGTCAAGAAAGGTTACATCCGTGTACAAAAATTATGCCAATTATTTTATTTTCATCATTATGTTTGGATAATGTAAATATACAAATTTAATTGTCATTTCTGTGATATCTCGAACAAATAACATACTTTCATCATCAGTGTATGACAGAAACCTGAAAGTCACTGTAAAGTCACCTGGTTACTCAGGAACCTGTTAATCCAGTAATCTAGCCTTCCATTTTCCATTTTTGATTATTTACAGACCGCAGGTATATATCTTGAAATATTGCGGTATGTGGCATTAAACAGCATCCAAACATAGAAAGTACATGATTGATTTTTTACGGTTTCAGGATGTATGTACTTCCTGTCACATGGCAGCCATCTTGACGTCGATGACTGTGTGGCACTACTTCCCTGTGGTAAGAAGTCTCCTAAATCAAAGCTATATTGAATTACTCATCACTCACCTTCGGTCTGGTGTAGTTGCAACACGTTTCGATGAATGCAGTTTCAAAAAATATATTGGTCAGTATCTTGTAAGGTCATGTCCTTTTGATACTGCTGAGTGACTGATGTAAGGGAGGTAACTCTAATGCTTTGCTATTCAGGAAGTGACTGTAACCAAGTTGGTGCGTGTTTGAATTGTAGGAATGACAGTTGGTGAATTTTAGAAAGTTGTGAATGAATAGGACTTTGTGTAAGAGTTTTCATGGTCAGGACAGTTTGTTGCTGGATGTTATATGTCAAGACATGTTTGATTTCAAGCGATAAACAATGTGAAACTACAGCTGGCCTTCTTGTCTTTCCATATTTTATTGTTTCCAGTAGATGGAGATTTCTGGATTTTTGCGATCCTGCGATCCGTAGAATAGGTCTTCAGCAACCCATGCTTGCCGGAAAAGGCGACTATGCTTGTCGTAAAAGGCGACTAACGGGATCGGGTGGTCAGACTCGCTGACTTGGTTGATGCATGTCATCGATGCATGTGGATCGATCCTCATGATATTAATCACTGGATTGTCTGGCCCAGACTTGATTATTCACAGACTGCCATCATATAGCTGGAATATTGCTGAGTGCGGCGTAAAACAACAAACCAACCAACCAATGAGGTCCTGACAGGTTTAATGTAGGTTACATTCATTCGGGTTTTTACTGTTGAAATATTTCTGAGTGTCCGTGTACATGAATATGACTGGAATGATCGATATGAGAGAGATGTGACTGTGGTTTATGACTGAGTTGTAATTATTCTTTTATCAGCATGGATTCCAAAGTACAAGGTCATACAAAAAGGGCATCACAAACTGTTCTGAGAATAACAATAACAATGAGAAGCAGTTCTGTTGTATCAAAATTTTAGGGAAATGTGTAATAAATAGGAAATGTTTTTTTCAGCACATCCTCATCCCTCTATGTTTTTGTCACTAAACCAACGTGAACTTCTGTACCTTCTGTAATCAGGTTTTCTTGGTCCATTTGCCAGAAGTGTACAACACCACTATAAATACTCTTATCATACCTCCATGTCCGAATGATGAGATCTGTTTGGTCCACGTGATCTTGATAAAATACTATGTATCCCACCTTGGAGGGAAATATATTTGTCAGCGGAGCAATAAATTTCTTATACCCTGCCACGAGCACGTCACGCTGCACATGGATTTCTGAGAGGCTGATTAAATCCCTTTTACCCTGCTTCATAGGAAAAAGTGTCCTGCTTTTTCTGAGTTAATGGAAGTCACGTGACATAGCATAAGTTAACCTAAGCCCAATGAAACAGCTGTCTTCTATCAATAGTAATTTGTTTTAATTCTTTTCAAATGTCATATTAAAACATGTCGGTAAGATAGATTTATTGTAGCAGGATCACACGGGGTACATGGGGTTTTATGCCTCCGGCTCGTTGTATAAAACCTTAGACAGGAAGCAAAAAAACCCATGTGTGATCCTGCTGCAACTTATGTTATAAACTGAATTTCTTTGGGGCAAGTGGAAGGTAGCTTGTTTGACGCCCTAGAAGTGCCATACCAAAGATGTTAAAAGATGGTACTTGCTGTTGCCTGGCGTTTGGCATTGAGGGAAAAAAAAAGGACTGGTTGGCTTGGAGTCAGTGTACTGTGTTGGTAAACTGGGGCATAAAACTGACATCAGTCCTGGTAGAAGCAGCCACACACACACACATGCAATAATGTTGAATTCGAGGTTAAACCCCATGTCACCTCACCTCACCCAGTATAAATACATTATCAGTGTGATGTGAGATTATGACAATTTCCAGGTACACTGGTGTTAAATGTGACCAAGGACACATATGAACAACTTGGCCTAGAAGGAAAGCCATCAGTCTTTACACCAAGACACCAGAAACCTAACAAATATGGTAGGTGCTTTACTCTTTCACCCTTATAACTGTGTTTAATGTTGAGAGTACTTCCTGAGTATCTAAACCTGTAACAGATACCTACCTGTGTCTGTCAGTACATACACATGAGCAATCGGGTTTACTGAGAATGTGTATCTGCTGAGTCCCCTCATCCTGGGTTAGTCATTGAATCCCCTTATGCCAGGACCTGTCATTGAATCCCCTTATGTCAGGACCTGTCATTGAATCCCCTTATGCCAGGGCCTGTCATTGAATCCCCTTATGCCAGGGCCTGTCATTGAATCCCCTTATGTCAGGACCTGTCATTGAATCCCCTTATGCCTGGGCTTGTCATTGAATCCCCTTATGCCTGGGCTTGTCATTGAATCCCCTTATGCCAGGACCTGTCATTGAATCCCCTTATGTCAGGACCTGTCATTGAATCCCCTTATGCCAGGGCCTGTCATTGAATCCCCTTATGCCAGGGCCTGTCATTGAATCCCCTTATGCCTGGGCTTGTCATTGAATCCCCTTATGTCAGACCTTGTCATTGAATCCCCTTATGCCAGGGTTTGTCATTGAATCCCCTTATGTCAGAACTTGTCATTGAATCCCCTTATGCCAGGGTTAGTCATTGAATCCAGTTATGTTAGGGTTTGTCATTGAATCTCCTTATGCCAGGGTTTGTCATTGAATCCCCTTATGCCAGGGTTAGTCATTGAATCCCCTTATGCCAGGGTTAGTCATTGAATCCCCTTATGCCAGGGTTTGCCATTGAATCTCCTTATGCCAGGGTTTGTCATTGAATCCCCTTATGCCTGGGCTTGTCATTGAATCCCCTTATGCCAGGACCTGTCATTGAATCCCCTTATGTCAGGACCTGTCATTGAATCCCCTTATGCCAGGGCCTGTCATTGAATCCCCTTATGCCTGGGCTTGTCATTGAATCCCCTTATGTCAGACCTTGTCATTGAATCCCCTTATGCCAGGGTTTGTCATTGAATCCCCTTATGTCAGAACTTGTCATTGAATCCCCTTATGCCAGGGTTAGTCATTGAATCCAGTTATGTTAGGGTTTGTCATTGAATCTCCTTATGCCAGGGTTTGTCATTGAATCCCCTTATGCCAGGGTTAGTCATTGAATCCCCTTATGCCAGGGTTAGTCATTGAATCCCGTTATTCCAGGGTTTGCCATTGAATCTCCTTATGCCAGGGTTTGTCATTGAATCCCCTTATGCCAGGGCCTGTCATTGAATCCCCTTATGCCAGGGCCTGTCATTGAATCCCCTTATGCCAGGACCTGTCATTGAATCCCCTTATGCCAGGGTTTGTCATTGAATCTTCTTATGCCAGACACATTACACATTACTCAACATTAAGCAGACACTGTGAAATAATAGAATACTGTTCAAATGGAGTAAGACCCAACTCACTCTGTGTCTCTATGTTGCCAGTGGTTCATATTGACCTGACTGCAGACTGCTTCATGCCAGGGAGGAAGAACTACAACCGTGTGTGGTGGTGTCTCAAGGATCGCCTCAACCTGGTGTTTGACTTCCTCGTCAGATGGGCCCCAGATGGTACGAGCTATTACAGTGTAACCCCTGTTGGGGTTCCGGGTTACAATTGGTCCCCAGCAACCTATGCTAGTCGTAAGAAGTAACCATAACGATCGAGTTGATTGTGTGTCTTCGTATCCCAACAGTGTCGATAGTTGCTCACAATATCAATCACTGGAATGTCTGGTCCAGACTCGATTATTCACAGGCCGCTGTCATATAGCTAGAATATTGCTGAGTGTGTTCTTAAAAAACAAACAAACAACAGGGATTGTTTAACCTAGCTGTCCAAATGAAGAAATAAGGGGGTGTTTCTGCTTTCTATAACGCTTTTAATATTGTAACCACGTACAGTAAAACATTCATCTTTAAGATAACATCACATTTTCCATGTTGGTTTGTTAAGTTTTTAGTAAATGTTGATTTCAACGCCACACTCAGCAATATTCCAGCTATATGATGGTGGTAGGATCGGTTAATCAGGCTCGCTGACTTGGTTGATGCATGTAATCGTACCCTTATTGCGAGGATCGATGCTCATGATGTCAATCATTGGATTGTCTGGTCCAGACTTGATTATTTACAGACCGCTGCCATATAGCTGGAATATTGCTGAGTGTGGCGTTAAACAACAAACCAGCCAACCAACCACCCGATCCTGTTAGTCGCCTCTTACGACAAGCACAGTCACCTTTTACGGCAAACATGGGTTGCTGAAGACCTATTCTACCCGGATCTTCACAGGTCTTTGGATTTCCCTCAGTTTCTAATGTGCATGTGCATTTTATTGATGATGTCATACCTTGAGCCAGCTCCAGGCACCAAGCGTTTTACCTCACTACAGACAACATAGTTTGATGAAATCACAACCAAAATCTGATGCTGCTAGCACGTCTTAATAATGTAACCATGGTAACCATTGTCATATTCCGGCACCAGATAACAACATCTGCCCCAGTTCCGTTCAACAATATTTTGAAAACAATGGGTATGATGTCACCCAAGTTGGAGTGAAGCAGAAGTCATCATTGCTGAAAAACAGACTGACCCCTGAACTGTCGGACAGCAACGTGAAGACAACTGATGACAGCTACAAAACTACCTACGACTGGCTTGGAGCTGTCTCTTGTGCGGTGAAATTGTGAGTTTTCAAATGCACCTGTGACTTTATGTACACAGCCAATGCACTGATCCAGTGAAGATCCATGGTAGGACTGAGATCCCAGGTAGGAGTCAGATCCATGGTAGGACTCAGATCCCAGGTAGGAGTCAGATCCATGGAAGGACTGAGATCCCAGGTAGGAGTCAGATCCATGGAAGGACTGAGATCCCAGGTAGGAGTCAGATCCATGGTAGGACTCACATCCCAGGTAGGAGTCAGATCCATGGAAGGATTGAGATCCCAGGTAGGAGTCAGATCCAGGTAGGACTGAGACCCCAGGTAGGAGTCAGATCCATGGTAGGACTCAGATCCCAGGTAGGAGTCAGATCCAGGTAGGACTGAGACCCCAGGTAGGAGTCAGATCCATGGTAGGACTCAGATCCCAGGTAGGAGTCAGATCCAGGTAGGACTGAGACCCCAGGTAGGAGTCAGATCCATGGAAGGAGTCATGTCACTTTATGGATTCAAGTACATGTTGCATTAAACTCAACCCACTCACTCACTCACTCCTTCATCCTCAGGGATGGTGCAGCAGATGACTTCCTGAACACCTACCGACCGCCTGACCCGTCCACGCCACACGACATCGGTCACCACCAGGGGACAGGATTTATCTCCCCTGATGTCATCAACAGAGTGCTGGACACAGTCAGGTGAGATAGGTGAAAACATAGAATATGGTTCACAGCCTTCAAACAAATCAGGGGTAGCCTAATGGTTAAAGCGTTCGCTCGTCACGCCGAAGGCCTGGGTTTGATTCCCCACATGGGTACAATGTGTGAAGCCCATTTCTGGTGTCCCCTGCCGTGATATTGCTGGAATGTTGCTAAAAGCGGCGTAAAACCATACTCGCTCATTCTATTAAACTCAACACAAAGACTTTGTTGTTTGCAGCAGTAACAAATACATCTTCACATCCATCATTTCAGATCTCACGTGGAGAAGAACAGCAACAAGACCCCCTGGGCAGCGGTCACCGTTCACGGATTCGCCGACTCTCCCGTGTCGTGGAGCAAACGAGAACACGGCTTCTACCTAGGGGGAGACAACTTGTACACATACGTCATATTTCCTGATCAGCAGTACTGGCTGTTCTCGGCCTTCTCGACCTACGATGAAGGATATTAAACTGGGAACAACACAGTGTCTTGTGGTTTGTTTATTTCCTGTTAATGACAATGATACGTACAATGGTCATTCCTGAGGCAGTTGAGAAACTTACAAGTATTGGACAGATTCTCGTTACAGGACAAGATATGGATAAAGGCCCTTTTTGGCACACAGGATCTGTATAATTTAGGAAATATTTTTAGACATTGTTGAGAAAGATATCAGGTGTGTTTAATGTATGTAACTCTTGTCCACTTCAACACATACATGTTTTGGAATTAAAACAAAAGACATATATATATATATATATAGGCAAGACTAAAATGGGTCCATCAAGGCGAGGTTTTCAGGAGGTGTTTACAAAGGCTTAAAAAAAATCAAGAATTGGTTCTCAGGCAAGGGCTTTTGAAAATATTGTGCGGGTGGGCGATGATTTTTGTTGTTGTTGTTGAAGCTAGTATGTAACTGAATTTTGTTTACAATTTTTGTTGTTGAAATCATGTTCTTCTTAAGTATTGTAGCATTTCACTTCCGGAGTCATATATTCGAGACCCGGAATATTTAAAGATTTTATAAATTTAAAAAAAATAGGAAATATAAATGAAATGTGCGTTGGACTTTATGATGATGTGGGCGGTGTCTGAGAACCAAGACTATTCTTTTTTTAGCCTAAAATTTGAAGTTTGAAGTCTTGGACCTATGATGACTTTCCTTTTGTAGTAAAAAGACAGCTTTGTTTACGACATGCTCATATTCTGTAGAAGTTAAAAAAAAGTCTGCTTTTCCACTTATTTTAACCACAATAATGTCCAATAACTGTCATACCAGTATTTCATAATATCAAGTGAAATTCAATAATTTGTAGTGGGATGAAATAGGGCCTTTATCATTCCTCCTTTGACTGAATGAGGTCATAACTCGTACACATAGTCAGCAGTATCTGTGACTGAGGTCTTAACTGGATGAGGGAGTGATGCGGGTTTAACACTGCATTGAACAGTTTTTCAGTTCGACCACAGCCATTCAGCTTAATGTGGGAGGAAAGCCCTAAGCAGAATAAACCAATGAGCATGGAGCTGCCACAACAAGGATAATAACTGAGAGGATCCGCGATACGAAAACATGATCATCTATGTCCCTTCTTCAATTTTACAGTAACGCAACATTTCATTGATGATGTCATACCTGTGGTAAATTCATGTCTTGTTTGTTAAATAAGGACTTGGCATTAAGTCTATGAGTCTCCACTGAGATACTTCATACTGGGGAATACACTGGCTTGAAATGTGTGATTGAGAACTCCTGACACCAGACAGTTCTAAGTTGAACAGTGAACAGCCTTCCTAACAGGTTCTAGCATCAAACGAAAGTCATCAATAATTGGCATGCCAACCAGTTGTAATAAGAATTCTGTGGTATAAACTTCAGCTTGTTTTTATCACGTTTTAGCATTATGGTGAAGCTAACAAACCATGTTCCTCATTTTAACATTCAAAAGAACAGAGTTATTTCCCTTTGTCTACACTCCCTACGCTTGACTACGCATTAATTAATACATGTGGACAGGGTTTCCTCGTCCAGCTTGACAGCTGAAGGATGGTCGGCATGTCCGGCTCAGTTATCTAGTCTGAGCTTCATCAATCATCTTCCTCGTCTGTGTCAGTCTTCAGCTTCTTACTTGCAAGCTCCCGCTCCTGAAGTAAAGAGTCAAACATGAAACTTGATAAACATATCTAAATATTCTTAATTTTAGTGTCGTTGGTGAAACAAGCAAAAACAAACAACTATCCATTTACAGTCATTTTCATTTGTCAATAAGTTAATTTCAAGGACCTGATAATCATACAGCTTGGCCCTCACTCTATAAAGGTTCATACACCAATGAACTCACATAGTGTAAGTCAATTCTCGAGTGATTAAGTATGCCCTAAAGTATTAAAATCTACAAAGCTGCTGTGATGACTTTACTTGCCCTTTAAAAACCAAAACATTCACAAAAACCTAAACTATTATTGCTGGAGTGAGTGAATGTTGTTTCCTGCACGTGTACGGTGATGTCACAGTGGCTGATGAATTATCAAGTCTGGGCCTGGAAACCAGTTAGTTGTGACAGTCACCTGACACCTGACAGCCTAAGAGCAAGCATGGGGTACCGGGGACCTAATGCAGCTCTCAGACATTACTGCCTTGGTGAAACCCACAAGCATGGGGTACCGGGGACCTAATGCAGGTCTCAGACATTACCGCCTTAGTGAAACCCACAAACCCATCAAGTCACCTGGTCCACCTCTAAGAGCAAGCATGGGGTACTGGGGACCTAATGCAGGTCTCAGACATTACCGCCTTGGTGAAACCCACAAGCATGGGTATGGTGCTGACAAACGAAACATACTCAGGGCGAAGCTGGGATTCTGGATCATAGATTTCTGGCACACCAAAGGGAGACAACTCTACATGACTTGGCCACCTGTGTCCCTGACACCATCACGGGGCCTATACTTCCATACAGATATGTATAGACACATGGACAACCCCTGATGATAACGACCACCTGTGTGGTCAAGTAGTAGAGCATCTGCCCAGAGAGCGGTAGCTCGGGGGTTTGATCTCTGGCCGTGTCATACCAAAAGATGTTAAAAGGTGGATGGGGCTGGGGACTTGGTGGATGGGATGGGGGGACTTGATGATTGAGGGTGGGGGACTTGGTGGATGGGGTGGGGTGGGGGGTGGGGAAAGACTTGATGGATGGGATGGGGGGGACTTGATGATTGAGGGTGGGGGACTTGGTGGATGGGGTGGGGTGCGGGGGGACTTGATGGATGGGGTGGGGGGGACTTGATGATTGATGGATGGGGTGGGGGGGACTTGATGGATGGGGTGGGGGGGACTTGATGATTGAGGGTAGGGAATGGTGGATGGTGTGGGGGGAACTTGATGATTGAGGGTGGGGAGCTTGGTGGATGGGTTGGGGGAGACTTGATGATTGAGGGTGGGGAACTTGGTGGATGGGGCAGGGGACTTGGAGGATGGGGCAGGGGACTTGATGATTGAGGGTGGGGAACTTGGTTGGATTGCCTGTCCACATACGCTGACTGTGTGGTACATGTATCAATCACTGGACTTGGTTACGTGCAGGCTGCCATCACACAGCTGGAATATTGCTAGTGGAGCATAAAGCAGCAAACAACTGGTTTGATGACAAGTTGAATTAAGCAACACCAAGACTTCTAAAACGGAAGCCAAAAATATCCAACATTTCCCAAACCCCTTAAAATGAAGATAAGGTTATCATATCGTCTGTCTCACAGTCTTTGAACCATATTATTTTCACTTCCGCCCAGCCCTTACTGTAATCCTACAACTCTCAATGAAACAAGTCTATATTTTCCACAGGTTCTGAATCTCCTATCTCACAGGGGCTTCTTATCAGTTAAAATGTAGTTGCTTGTTTCTATCAAAGTCCTATATTTTCAGAGACTAAGTATTAGTCTAGGTAATGACCAAACCCTGAGCAGAATAATTCCCTCTACAATGTTCTTCCTCAACAATACCCATTAGTTGACTTACTGTGCCGAGCTGATAGAAATGTGGCGCCAGCTCACACAGCCATTCTGGTTTGATGACCGTCATGTCACGCATGAAGTCCTTAGAAGTCTGCACGACCTCATTAAACACCACCCTGCAACACAACATGGCAAACATCAAACACATGACAAGTTGAAGCTCTTAACTTAACATAACTGGGTGTCACAGAGATCAAGTAGAAACAAAATTAATGCTGTGTAAATATTTTTTTTTGCCCACCACTGAGTTCAGATTTAGGGACGAGGACTGATATTTGAAGGGAAATGTTGGTATTCCTCCTCACCACTGAGTTCAGATTTAGGGACGAGTACTGATATTAAGTGGGAAATGTTGGTATTTCTACTCACCACTGAGTTCAGATTTAGGGACGAGGACTGATATTTGAAGGGAAATGTTGGTATTTTAACTCACCACTGAGGTCAGATTTAGGGACAAGGACTGATATTTAGTGGGAAATGTTGGTATTTTCACTCACCACTGAGGTCAGATTTAGGGATGAGGACTGATATTTAGTGGGAAATGTTGGTATTTTTACTCACCACTGAGTTCAGATTTAGGGACAAGGACTGATATTTAGTGGGAAATGTTGGTATTTTCACTCACCACTGAGGTCAGATTTAGGGATGAGGACTGATATTTAGTGGGAAATGTTGGTATTTTCACTCACCACTGAGGTCAGATTTAGGGATGAGGACTGATATTTAGAAGGAAATGTTGGTATTCCTACTCACCACTGAGGTCAGATTTAGGGATGAGGACTGATATTTAGTGGAAAATGTTGGTATTTTCACTCACCACTGAGGTCAGATTAAGGGATGAGGACTGATATTTAGAAGGAAATGTTGGTATTCCTACTCACCACTGAGTTCAGATTTAGGGATGAGGACTGATATTTAGAAGGAAATGTTGGTATTTTTACTCACCACTGAGTTCAGATTTAGGGACAAGGACTGATATTTAATGGGAAATGTTGGTATTTTCACTCACCACTGAGTTCAGATTTAGGGACGAGGACTGATATTTGAAGGGAAATGTTGGTATTTCTACTCACCACTGAGTTCAGATTTAGGGACGAGGACTGATATTTGAAGGGAAATGTTGGTATTTCTACTCACCAGTGAATTCAGATTTAGGGACGAGGACTGATATTTGAAGGGAAATGTTGGTATTCCTACTCACCACTGAGTTCAGATTTAGGGATGAGTACTGACATTTAGAAGGAAATGTTGGTATTTCTACTCACCACTGAGTTCAGATTTAGGGACGAGGACTGATATTTGAAGGGAAATGTTGGTATTTCTACTCACCACTGAGTTCAGATTTAGGGACGAGGACTGATATTTGAAGGGAAATGTTGGTATTCCTACTCACCACTGAGTTCAGATTTAGGGATGAGGACTGATATTTAGAAGGAAATGTTGGTATTTTTACTCACCACTGAGTTCAGATTTAGGGACAAGGACTGATATTAGAAGGAAATGTTGGTATTTTTACTCACCACTGAGGTCAGATTTAGGGACAAGGACTGATATTAGAAGGAAATGTTGGTATTTCTACTCACCACTGAGTTCAGATTTAGGGACGAGGACTGATATTTAGAAGGAAATGTTGGTATTTTTACTCACCACTGAGGTCAGATTTAGGGACAAGGACTGATATTAGAAGGAAATGTTGGTATTTCTACTCACCACTGAGTTCAGATTTAGGGACAAGGACTGATATTAGAAGGAAATGTTGGTATTTTTACTCACCACTGAGGTCAGATTTAGGGACAAGGACTGATATTAGAAGGGAAATGTTGGTATTTTTACTCACCACTGAGGTCAGATTAAGGGGCAAGGACTGATATTTAGTGGGAAATGTTGGCATTTGTACTCACCACTGAGTTCAGATTTAGGGACGAGGACTGATATTTAATGGGAAATGTTGGTATTTCTACTCACCACTGAGTTCAGATTTAGGGACGAGGACTGATATTTGAAGGGAAATGTTGGTATTCCTACTCACCACTGAGTTCAGATTTAGGGATGAGGACTGATATTTAGAAGGAAATGTTGGTATTTTTACTCACCACTGAGGTCAGATTTAGGGACAAGGACTGATATTAGAAGGAAATGTTGGTATTTTTACTCACCACTGAGGTCAGATTTAGGGACAAGGACTGGTATTAGAAGGAAATGTTGGTATTTCTACTCACCACTGAGTTCAGATTTAGGGACGAGGACTGATATTTAGAAGGAAATGTTGGTATTTTTACTCACCACTGAGGTCAGATTTAGGGACAAGGACTGATATTAGAAGGAAATGTTGGTATTTCTACTCACAACTGAGTTCAGATTTAGGGATGAGGACTGATATTTAGAAGGAAATGTTGGTATTTTTACTCACCACTGAGGTCAGATTTAGGGACAAGGACTGATATTAGAAGGAAATGTTGGTATTTCTACTCACCAGTGAATTCAGATTTAGGGACGAGGACTGATATTTGAAGGGAAATGTTGGTATTCCTACTCACCACTGAGTTCAGATTTAGGGATGAGTACTGACATTTAGAAGGAAATGTTGGTATTTCTACTCACCACTGAGTTCAGATTTAGGGACGAGGACTGATATTTGAAGGGAAATGTTGGTATTTCTACTCACCACTGAGTTCAGATTTAGGGACGAGGACTGATATTTGAAGGGAAATGTTGGTATTCCTACTCACCACTGAGTTCAGATTTAGGGATGAGGACTGATATTTAGAAGGAAATGTTGGTATTTTTACTCACCACTGAGTTCAGATTTAGGGACAAGGACTGATATTAGAAGGAAATGTTGGTATTTTTACTCACCACTGAGGTCAGATTTAGGGACAAGGACTGATATTAGAAGGAAATGTTGGTATTTCTACTCACCACTGAGTTCAGATTTAGGGACGAGGACTGATATTTAGAAGGAAATGTTGGTATTTTTACTCACCACTGAGGTCAGATTTAGGGACAAGGACTGATATTAGAAGGAAATGTTGGTATTTCTACTCACAACTGAGTTCAGATTTAGGGATGAGGACTGATATTTAGAAGGAAATGTTGGTATTTTTACTCACCACTGAGGTCAGATTTAGGGACAAGGACTGATATTAGAAGGAAATGTTGGTATTTCTACTCACCAGTGAATTCAGATTTAGGGACGAGGACTGATATTTGAAGGGAAATGTTGGTATTCCTACTCACCACTGAGTTCAGATTTAGGGATGAGTACTGACATTTAGAAGGAAATGTTGGTATTTCTACTCACCACTGAGTTCAGATTTAGGGACGAGGACTGATATTTGAAGGGAAATGTTGGTATTTCTACTCACCACTGAGTTCAGATTTAGGGACGAGGACTGATATTTGAAGGGAAATGTTGGTATTCCTACTCACCACTGAGTTCAGATTTAGGGATGAGGACTGATATTTAGAAGGAAATGTTGGTATTTTTACTCACCACTGAGTTCAGATTTAGGGACAAGGACTGATATTAGAAGGAAATGTTGGTATTTTTACTCACCACTGAGGTCAGATTTAGGGACAAGGACTGATATTAGAAGGAAATGTTGGTATTTCTACTCACCACTGAGTTCAGATTTAGGGACGAGGACTGATATTTAGAAGGAAATGTTGGTATTTTTACTCACCACTGAGGTCAGATTTAGGGACAAGGACTGATATTAGAAGGAAATGTTGGTATTTCTACTCACCACTGAGTTCAGATTTAGGGACAAGGACTGATATTAGAAGGAAATGTTGGTATTTTTACTCACCACTGAGGTCAGATTTAGGGACAAGGACTGATATTTAGTGGGAAATGTTGGTATTTTCACTCACCACTGAGGTCAGATTTAGGGATGAGGACTGATATTTAGTGGGAAATGTTGGTATTTTTACTCACCACTGAGTTCAGATTTAGGGACAAGGACTGATATTTAGTGGGAAATGTTGGTATTTTCACTCACCACTGAGGTCAGATTTAGGGATGAGGACTGATATTTAGTGGGAAATGTTGGTATTTTCACTCACCACTGAGGTCAGATTTAGGGATGAGGACTGATATTTAGAAGGAAATGTTGGTATTCCTACTCACCACTGAGGTCAGATTTAGGGATGAGGACTGATATTTAGTGGAAAATGTTGGTATTTTCACTCACCACTGAGGTCAGATTAAGGGATGAGGACTGATATTTAGAAGGAAATGTTGGTATTCCTACTCACCACTGAGTTCAGATTTAGGGATGAGGACTGATATTTAGAAGGAAATGTTGGTATTTTTACTCACCACTGAGTTCAGATTTAGGGACAAGGACTGATATTTAATGGGAAATGTTGGTATTTTCACACACCACTGAGTTCAGATTTAGGGACGAGGAATGATATTTGAAGGGAAATGTTGGTATTTCTACTCACCACTGAGTTCAGATTTAGGGACGAGGACTGATATTTGAAGGGAAATGTTGGTATTTCTACTCACCAGTGAATTCAGATTTAGGGACGAGGACTGATATTTGAAGGGAAATGTTGGTATTCCTACTCACCACTGAGTTCAGATTTAGGGATGAGTACTGACATTTAGAAGGAAATGTTGGTATTTCTACTCACCACTGAGTTCAGATTTAGGGACGAGGACTGATATTTGAAGGGAAATGTTGGTATTTCTACTCACCACTGAGTTCAGATTTAGGGACGAGGACTGATATTTGAAGGGAAATGTTGGTATTCCTACTCACCACTGAGTTCAGATTTAGGGATGAGGACTGATATTTAGAAGGAAATGTTGGTATTTTTACTCACCACTGAGTTCAGATTTAGGGACAAGGACTGATATTAGAAGGAAATGTTGGTATTTTTACTCACCACTGAGGTCAGATTTAGGGACAAGGACTGATATTAGAAGGAAATGTTGGTATTTCTACTCACCACTGAGTTCAGATTTAGGGACGAGGACTGATATTTAGAAGGAAATGTTGGTATTTTTACTCACCACTGAGGTCAGATTTAGGGACAAGGACTGATATTAGAAGGAAATGTTGGTATTTCTACTCACCACTGAGTTCAGATTTAGGGACAAGGACTG